CATTATTAATGCTTATCTCTCCTCAGCCAACATGATTGTCCTAATGATTTCATCAAATGGTAATAATTATACAAGTAGCAGAATGAGGCATGTCATCGATAATGTACTACTAAAAAAATTAGGTTCTAAAAATCAATATTAATGATTTGTTTTTATTGGAAGAATCTTAATACCATGCTACAACTCCACTCCATTCAGTGACTCCCATATTGAGTGTTTCACCACTATGTTGTGGCTGTGTTACTGGTACATTTTGTTTTCATGTTGTGGAGCCACTCGAAAGTCATGTCATGCCGCAAGTTGAAAGGCCTTAAAGCTTTTCACAACCTCTCCTTATCGTGTAGGCCTACACGTCATGACATTCGGGAATTGTCATTACGTGTATTCAATTGTAATAATGACCGAAAAGACGGCACAATAATGGCATTTAGTAGTAATTAATTATTAATGGCTTCATGATCATACCTTGAATAGATATGATAAATATATTGCTACTAAAGTTTGAACACGACGAATACATATATCTACAGTATCAATCGGATTCGGTTCTGCAGCCATTTCCACACTGACGTCATATCATGATGCATTCTGAAAACAGACTTATCCTATTTCAGGCATTGCATAATTAATGTGGTTCACATGCCGTTTCGTTTCGTTAATTTATATAAACAAAACACAGAATCACAAAACAAAAATTGATAGGTCTATGTGGTTAAGCGAATATGACTCTTAGATGTCAACTACCTTCAAACATCTTCATCGTTATCCTACACAAATGCATATACTTGGCATAAATAGGCTATAATAAAACCCATGAACTAAAGTGTAAAAGTAGAAAGCCGCTTAATTTAATCAATGAATGAGGCCGGCTTGGAGTATACCTCCATGGAATAAGTAATGAGTACGGTACTTCACCAACTTTTCACATAATTTCATTTTATTTATATAGCCGAGCCGTTTGACACAAAGGTTGTGGTTCATCTGGAAATTGGGGGTTCAATCCCTCGCTGTGAATTTTGCTTGTCCTTGGACAAGGCACTTCACCTACAGTTGAATTAACATTTGTATCTGGTAAGATGTGACATTGAATCTATTGGTCTCGCGACATCTGGCAATATGTATGCTCCCCATGTAGCGGAGAATGTATCTATTTATGCCACTTTGCCAATCTATGAATTCAATGACCAAGGGTAATAACGTTGCAAGCGCTTTGACAACGAATTGTATAAAGCGCTGTATAAAAATGTAAATATTGATGTGAACAAATAGACAAGAAAACAAATAAAGAGAAAACTAAAGTTACAGACCAGTTATAAAAAAAATAACACGGGATCCTTGCAAAAGCATAATTCCGATTCAGATTCATATTTAGTTATCTCAATGCATACAAGTGGAAACAAGACAAAAATGATATTAGACAAAATGCAATTGTGTCTGGAGAAGCCAAATAAGCCCAAAAGGGCTTTAAGGCTGGCTCCATCAGAGAAAAAAAATGCAAAGTAATTTGTTCTAGTACGGTATCATAAACACAACGACAAACGGTACAAGGACAAAAGGTATTAAATAAATTTCATATTACATAAATGCAAAATATAAAAATGTAGACAATGGTAAAATACATAAACTGTGATTGGATAGGAAAACACAAGAATAGTGGTACTTAGGAATGGTTTGTAATTAGAAAGAAGATTAGAGAAAAGATTTATATTTTGATTTAAATGAGTAATTACTTTCAGAATTTGTTGGTGATGTGATGTGCCGAATTATTGAATTCCTGGTGGTAGAGTTTCGATTAGAATTGTGATGTATTTATTTGCATTCCTAGATTTAGAGGTCCCCGACGAGAACAAAGTGTGCCTGGTCAGGCGTTGCTCAAAATGTTTCGAAAGTACATATAATTTATTTTATGAATGTTTAAAGAGTTTAAGTTTAAACCAGTTTGAAACATGTTTGATTTAATTATTGAAAGTTTTGATTAAGGTATTATAAAGTCAGGATTAGAATGAAAAATTGCATCATCTGCAAAGATAACGTAGGAGAAAGATTTGGAAGCGTGACTTGCATAAGTTTAAATTCAAAACAGAAATAATGTAACGAAAAAAAATCTCCATTTACTTGAAACAAGGTATATTTCAGTCATTCTATTGATTTATTGAAAAATTTCAGGTAGGCCTATGACTAATCTGTATTAAAATCAATCGCTTTTAAAAATATTCATTAATGTAATGATATTTTAGGTGGGAGTGACGTAAGTTATCATTTTATGTGACGGCTCATCTTCTAATATTAAACATTCTCGAAAAATGTGATAATATATTCCAATGAGACATCGATCATCCTCGACTACGTCTTTGAATGCGGTAATGGTGAATAATAGAGATGCGTTTGTGTGTGTGCTAAGAAGGGTTGATGACCAATTGAGACGCGAGTTTAGTTGAGTAGAGCTAGCTTGTTGGGAGTAAAGAGAGCGTGTAGCATAGGAGCTGCATCTTGTTGGGTTGACATGTAGCACGGTGATGCTAATGTTGCTTGGTGGTCGCAATTAAGCAGCCTTTTCTTAGAGTAGCGTGGCGGATCTTTGATGTGACAGACTAAATTCTGCCTGAGGAGTCACGTGCATTGCAATCTGCTAATCTACATCCAAGTCCGTTAATCTACTTTCATGTTATCTCTTTGGTTGACTTTTCCAGACACTTTCAATATAAGTAAATGTTGGCCCATGTAACACAAAAACGAAATTATGATTGGGCTCATATTGGTAGTTTTTAATTTCATTATTTTCAATTACTGGTGCATGTTCTGTACAACGGAGAAAATAATATATACAGGCTATATATATATTTTTTTTATAAGAATGCAGTTTCACAGAGTTTTTAGTGTGAACACACGGCCATTTTATCTAACTAGACCTAGGCCTATATCCAGATCGAACAGTATTCGTGACACGAACGTACGACTCCAACGGCCATATTTCTATTTAATTAGGCCTATATCCAGAATTGAACAGCATTCGTGACACGAACGTACGACCCCAGCAGACATACTTTTATTTGATTAAAATATCCAGAACTAAACAACATTCGTGACACGAACGTGCGACCCCAAACAACATTGCTTCTTTGAATATATATTAATCGAATAGCATTCGCGACACGAACATACGACCCTAAAAACATTGCTTATGACTACACATCCAGAATCGATTAACTAATGTGGAGACGTCCCTCGGCATTTGAGGAGTGGATGTGACATGGATTTTCTTTCCTCGCAATGTTTTCTCTTGGAAATTAGGTCAAAAACTAGTCGCAAACATGAAAACTTTAGGCAAATTATTCGATGTATCGCACAATAATAACGAAAACTCACCTGACACACGAAAATTTATATTTAATAGTTAATTTTGCGCATTTCAATCCCATAAAACGAATGGTAAAGAAATCCTTTCAATTTCTACAAAAAGCCGACGCAATTTCAATGGATAGTCTGTCGTTAATTGGGAGACGGAAAACGAAAAAATGCTTTCTGCTTGTTAACGAGAAGCCGCCATATCTAAAAATCCGTAGCCGATTTGATTATCTGTAATTGTGTTATATTACATAATTGGTATCTTTCTCACAGATGGTGTGATCGATTGTAATGCATATTTCCATACAATCAATATTCGTTTAACGCCTGTGAATTTTAACTAAGTTGATCTCTGAGTTTTCACTGAAATTGTCATCTCCTACAGCAAAATGTGCATGGATGCACAATTGCTCAACCGATCCTTGGACAATCGACATAGGGCCTATGGTTCAATTTAGTTATTGGTTTCTTCATTCGCTTTTGTGCTGATTATTCGATTGAAATCTTTTCCTAGTTATTTTTATTGAATTTTAAAATAGGCCTAATTATTCTTTGCAATATTCTAACATAACAAAACATCGTTTCCCGAGATATGCATTGCATACTCATTCATACATAATGTAAGGCAAAATATGTAGTTAAACAAGAGTATTTTATGATCGATGTAACCATGGAGGAAGAAAACATGATGTAACTAACCTACTTATGAACACGAACCTCGGGTTAAAAAGTTTTTTTAAGTGGTACTGCCAAGTCGTTACATGTAGCCGTGCTGTTGCCACCAATCAGCTGGCTCATTGTAGAGCCAATCAAAATTATCACAGAATGCGGCACTTATGGTTTAAAAATGTAAAAGATGTAGGAAGATGAACACAAGCTACCGAAAATACGACAGTCCATAATTGCAACTTTTCCCAGTAAATCTGTTCAAATCAATTCAGACAGTTTGTATCCCTCTACGTAACAACCATAATCCAACACAATATTACAGGCCAAGACAAACTTTGACCTGATTATGCAGAGTCCATCTTCAGAGATGCTTCTACCACGTGGAACATTCCCTAACGACTTAATTGAAGAGTCGATATTTTATTATGGCTACATTAAATACTGAGATCGTCGTAGGGCCTATATTTAACTTCACTTAAACATAGCAGAATTATTCATTACCCTCACTTTTCTTTTCAATATGACTCAGTCTTATTAATTTCACAGCATGTAACATCCACAAGTACAAACCTCGCAAATTACATAATATCTTATACTGGCCAGAAGCAATCCATTGCATCAAAACTTTTTACATTTCGTCATTATGTAATCATCTCCTAACCACATCCAGGCTATAATCATCCATCTCATTTTTTGGTATAAACGTTAGAAGAATTTTATTCTGGTATTCCTTATTAATTTACTCACAAATATAATGGTAAAAGTACAGTAGTGGTAGCCATAAGTCACAAATATATAAACAGTAATACCCAAAAGATAGCAAATTTAACTTTCAAAACGTGTTTCTTAAGAGGTGGGTATTTACTTCCATACCAGTTTGTATTACATACTATAGTATTACCGGGTGAACGACAGCTGTAGTTTACAAGTGTGGTAAGTTTGAAATAACAAGTATGAAACAACTCCAAATAAATTAAGACACGCCATTCTAAATCAATATTTCAACGTTTAATAATAATGGTATAAAAACTAAAAATTTCCTTATGTACGACGGCGGTTAACAATGATCATAATCATGGTCTTGAATACTAATAGCATTTTTAAATTCAAATGGAAATGTCTATAGTAGACAATATACTGTATAAATAAGCGGTGTCCACACAAAAACCAATCACTGGATGGAAAAGACAACTGTAACTGTAAATTTAATTGTAAATTGTAGCCAGCCAAACAATATAATTTTATTCATATTGAGGAAGATAGGCTACAATCTAGCAAATGTAACTTGTAGCGCTAAGACATTTCTAAATTCTCATTGGTGAATCCATTCAAACTTCTGCTGCAAGTCTACTTCCATCAATGATTTGACTTTTTAACAGTGAGAGCCAAAAAGACTTAAGTTAAAATTATCATTTAAAGACATTTGACCATTCTATACAACTTGGTATAGAATCTTTATTGAGGAAAACATATTAATCACAAAGTGATTGTAGCTTTAGGGATAACCCTGTCCAAATCCCTCAAAATGAATGTTCAAAGAAATCTCCAATATCAAACAATATCCCTAGATTGGTGTGCTATCCACAGCATATATGAATGTACAAACAAGATATACAATGTTATAGATTACACTCATAGAATGGCTTACAGTCTACTCAATCAAGTTACAGAATACTTTTAATGTTAATCTCACAAATAGATCAAAATACAAATTGTGATTTACGTTTCCTTTAATGCGCTGTACTAAATCCATATCTATAATATCAAATTAAAGTTTAAGACTAGTACAAACTAAAGTGGCTTGATACATATGGAGGCAGGTACTGTATAACCATTCAAATGAATAATTAGGCCATCAGTTTACTGCACTTAGCTCTGTCCACACTATCAAATTTTATGTACCCATATATGGGCATGATGATGTCATATCACACCCAAATATGGGTATTTCACATTTACTTGTTACACAGTATGGGCAGAGTTGTGGTGGTGACAAGTTTAATATTAAATAAAAAATATGTCAATTTTATAGCACATGAGGCCAAAAAAAAATTACGTGTCCAAGCCAACCAGACAGAAAATGTCTAAAATCAAGGGCAGCTTTTTTTAAAGGTGGAAAAACTTACTATAATAAGATCACTTTAAAACTTTAATTAATTTAAAGTTGTTAAAATTTAACCTGCAAGAAACAGTGACAGTGTTGTCTGGCTGTAAACTCTAGAATTAGTCCTAGGCCCTTATTTCAAAATTTCAAATTCTCACTCTGCTTGGACAACACAACAATTTTTTTTTTTTTGGCCTATGAGTACAATATTATTACGTCAATCATTGGATAAAACACATTAAAAAAACATAGCTTTCTGGGGGTGTACTCTGTATTGTTACAGACATATAATTCTACCAGGTACCAAGTTACACTCCTTGGAGAGTGCTGGGCCCAAGAAACAACTTGAACCATCTATCTCACAATTGGAAGCCTGTAGTCATGTCGCAGCGCCACTTGCAGGGACTATCGGAGACAATCTGACTGAATCTTTAATGATCTTTAATGCATGTCAGTGAAGGACACTATAATGAGGAATGACGATTAATAAAACAAAATGTATTTTTAAAGTTTCATGATTGAAAAAAAGATGATGTAACATCATCCAAATCAAGTAACCAAGAAGTCTCTGTTTATTGAAGCTAATAACAAAAAATGCAGATATTAATTTAGATAGTTGATGCAAACTATATCTCATTCACTGGTAATGACAAACTGCTGTAAAACTCTTGTAAAGAACAATTAACAAGGTTTGTAAAAATATTACATTGTCAGAAATAGTGTAACAGGACAATGATCACTGCCATATACCTTGGTTCTTATGACGCTGTCGCAAATATTAGGTTTAAGTTTCTCGGACACTACAAAGTAATCCAAACGCCTGTGGAATACAAAACAGAAAATGGATTTTTTATAAATATAATATAATGTACTATTGTATTGTATTAAACATTGAAAATAGATATCTTTTTTAAAAAGCCAAATGGAAACGTATCTCCTCCTTGTAACTGTATAATACACGAATATGCATAATACAAAAACACAATACCTTATAATTCAATTACCATATGCTTCATATTGGTCCAAGCATTTAAAGCTGTATTCCCACTATGACTAACACCATGTGACTAACATCATGTGACCTACTCCTATACAGGCTAGTGTGATGATAACATATGCACTTGGTAGTGTGCACAATTACCTACCATTCCATTATCAATTTTCAAATTATTATATTGTTGACTTTCATCACTTTCAAAAAATTGCAATTAGAAAAGGCGTCAAAAGAATATTAGAAATATTAATATTTTGGATCTTTTTAATAAATAATAAATATTGGAATATAATAAATTAATAATATATAATTAAATAAAATGAAAAAAGCTTCAAACAAGATGCACATTTAACTTTAATGCACTGACATTCCATTTACAGTAAAAAAAAAACATTGCAGTTAGCTGAATTTATTTATCTCACATCGCAATCTCTAAAATCTTACCAATGGGTATTTAAACAAGGCTTCAATGAGCTGTTAGCAAATCAAGGCTCAACGCAAGTTTACTAGTTGGAATTGCCTGACGCGCATTAGCGGTTAGGGTATGTTTTATTGTTGGAACGGCCTCATTCAGACCTGCCATCACTGGTTCTATTGCTCTATCTGTATATCTGTCAATATGAAATGAAACAGATTTGAAGTGGCGCTAATGGTTGCAGAAGTAAAATGTGATTCAGAAAATGTAATCCATTTTGACTTGTCATAAAATACAATGTAGACATGTACTGCATTAAGAAATTATACCTAATCCTGATTTTCAAAAAGGCTAAATAAGAAATTCAAGGTGACAATGAGCAAGTAAATAAAGAGTATGATGCATAGGAAATATTTTACCCCTCACTACTTTTGTAATGTTTCTATATAAAAAGAAAGTAATTACATGAAAGATTGATGACAATGTGTATCTAAATGATGTATCTACTTTATTGTTGAAGAATAATTATTGGGGAACATATCTTTTTCTCCATTATTGGCAAACACAGTGACATTTACAATAAAAACCACTGCTAACTGCTCAATCTAGCTGCACCATTTATCATTTTTCAGCTCCCAACACTGATCTCCATCAATCATCAGTCCACTTATCTGTGTGGTCAACACTTGGCCCTAGTTCCTAAGTTGTTTACTTTTACAGTTAGAAAGTGATCATAGTCAGTGGTGGATCCATATTTATTTTTCCAGGGTGGCAATCGAGGAGCTGTGGTCAAAGGAGGTGAAACTACTGTAAGTTCTCCTTAGCCTGGTTCACGTTGAAGTTAAGTCACTTATCTAAATCTTGAAATATGATACGATTTTCCCTAGTTGCGTTCGATGCCAAGTTAAAGCTAGATAAACAGCCAGCCAGCTTCGAGGCAGTCGACGTCACACGGTGGAAAGGCTTGCTTAATCAAGGACTTTTAACTGTTTCCAGGATAGGAAGCTGGCTGGTTTAAGCCGTCTAACTTGAATTAGCCTTATGTGTGGTATTGTTATGCTAATGAGCCAGATAAGCACAATCTGCACATACACAGAAAACAAAACTTTCCTTAGCCACACCTTGGCACACATTTCGTCATCGTAAACATGTGCACTCATTTTAACGACTGACGTTGGTGGTAGTTTGTTGAAACTGAATTAATAGCGACTATTATAGCAGAAATTGAAAAGATTGAATTGTCAATAAATAAATACAACAAATTTGATTCTATTATTAAGAAAAATATACATTATCCCTTTGAAAAACGTAGACGTTCGCTGGGTTTTTACCCATAATATTACAAATAATTTCTCAAAACCAGACTAATGAGACTACTTTACTGCCGTTGTTAGCGTTGTTGGAGAACGTTGTTGCTCGCCAGAGGATGATAATGGTGGTACAACACAACAACGCTGGCTTAGAGGCCAACGTTACGTATTCGTGTCCTTGTAATCTGAGCCGGCTTTACCGTTAAGCAAGTTAATTTACCGTTATTCTAGTGAAGTTAAGTCACTTAACAATAAGTGACTTAAGCCTTTATCTAGCTATAATTGACTGGTTCACGTCAAACTTTTAACTTGACTCCCTAGGTCTCAAAATGAGACTTTATGTAGAACATCTTGTTTATATGTTTTATGATTCCCACTTAGTAGAGTGAATAAATCTGCTACACTGAGCCTATAAATTAAACCATTCTCGGCCAGCCATGCTTAGTTAACCCAACTTGCACTGTTGATGGGTTGTGAAGTGGCTCTCGCTACGTTTCAGCCTTAGGTGCGAGTAATTAATGGCTTAAAAAGTAAACAAATATGGTAGCCACCTTGCATCAATATTGATGGTAACATCACTCCTGATATACCAAGATATACAAAAAAAAAATAAATAAAAATAAATCAATTAAAAAAAATAAATCAATAAATAAAACATCATAACAAGCAGTAAATTATAAGGGTAAAGGTAGGAGAATGACTCATAACTTACAGAGTCATTGTACTGATTTGTGTATGGGTGTGGTCTTTACTACTGAACAACATGGGCTGAAATGAACCAGCCTTGGGGTAATCCACTACTTTTCTAAAAGATGCAATCAGTTCTTTAAAGTGCACACAAGCCAGATGGGTACACTGGATCTCCTTTTTAAGTCTTATCTGAGTAGACATGGTTCTACCAACCTAATGCTAGGCGAGGATCATCTCCAACCAGCACCGACGTTTCAGGTAATTTATTATTATAAATTCTAACAGGAGAAAAACAAAATCTTATGAATACTGAAATAAAATTAAATTGGCTTAAGAAAATACAACATATTTTAACAGTATGAGCCTTAATTACAAATTGGTAATTACTTTAAATTTGAAGCAGATTCTCTTTTGCATACCATCACAATAAACATGCTGATTAAAATTGCTAATTACAGAATCATGATCTAGGTAATAAATCGCTGGAGAGACTAAAACAACTAGACAAGATATGATGACCAACAGAAGCTAAGATGTCACACTACAGTAAGAACATGTCATTAAACTAAAAGCCAAAAGTTGTTTTCCGTAGCGATATGGTTTATAATGGTAACCATGGAAACTATTACAGTTTGAATTTCATCAATGAACCACATGGCTCTGTGACATGCTTAATTCCAAGTAAAATTCATCAGAAACTTTTTTTTTTTTAATGGATTAGTTAAGTTTGTAAAGTCAAATTCTTATTTAGACAGAATGGCTAACTTCATAGATAATAAAGACAAATTGGGCAGTTAACTGAAAGACACACAACGAAATTGTTAAAATTGAGAAGTTCCTTACCAGCCTGTATTTTTGGCTCTTGCATTCATCATGTAGGTCCAGAAGGAATACTCGGCAGTTTTCTGTGGATAAAAGTGACGGTATGAGTCGATGAAGCCAGCTGCTAGCAAATCAGTAAAGCCCTGTCTCTCCTGGTCAGTGAATCCGGCTGTTTTGTTACGGTTACTCTTTGGATTAGCAAGATCTAGAAAAATGATTGAAACCAAATTTGTAAGACAGCAGAATAGGTCATTCAGCTGAACTGGTGGTAACCACTGTGTGTACACTCAATTATATAGAGAGCGAGTCCTTTCTAATCTTCAGTCCTTGTTGCAATTTTATCACCAATCAGTCACAGGATAGCATTATCACCAATCTGTCACAGGATACCATCTCCGGTCATCAACATGTTATCTAAGTCTACGTTCCACCTCATGTCCATATACTTTATCTACCCCTTTAATTCGTTCTAAATATGGAGAGAGGTCCTTTCAAGCTGCTTCTCCCAAGCTATGGAATGCACTCCCTATTGAGATCCGACAGTCTCCTTCTCTTTCCATTTTTAAGGAGAGACACAAGACCTACCTTTTTCAAACTTTTTAAATTTTCCATTTTTGTTGTTTTACCTTTGTTGTTTTACTTACAAGTCCCAAACCAGTACCATTACCATTAAACATGGGTTTTGTACAAGTAGAACCCCCACCTAAAAAATGTCCTTCAATACTAAGTATTATAGACATTAAGAAGTAAGAAATGAAAGGGTAAAAACTTAAGTCATATTATTATGCGGTCTATTTACTATTTTTAAAGAATAAAGCTGAATTTACTGAATTTAGCATTGAATCAGTAATTTAACAAGAAAATTAGAAGAAAAATCTAGCAAAATATTGATTGATTATTATTAGCTTTATGCAATCACCAGCTTAATCGTGCAAGGCTGCATTTAAAAAGTAATGAAAAATGTGGTAGACTTCTAATGATGACAATGAATGAATACGATAATAATAGCACATGTGGCACCTACTGTAAGCATTTAAATTCTTTTCTCCGAAAATGGCTTCTTTGGCATTTGTATCATTTTATTGTAATATCTATATTTAATTTTCGATCAATGGATTGTAATAAGCCCTGAGGCATTATACCTAATATACAGTAGTACAATCCAGGAGAGATCAATTTCTGAATAAAAAATTCTTAAAAGGCAATTGAAGAAAAGAGGTTATGAATATTTCATTGAAAATTTCAACAATATAGTTTTGTTTCTTATGTTTAAATTGCGAATGTAAATTTAAATATCAAGCACTAAAAACTAAATCTTAATATGATTTTCAAAAAATTGTTTAAACTTCTCAGCAACCATTTATAAAATGTTCATGATTCATAAAATGAAAACCATGAAATATATTTGTTATGAACATCTGGTGGAAATTGTGGCTTCTATGCAAATATGCCAAATGAAATACTGTAAGATTAATGAAATAAAAACTATTAAAAAATAAATGTAAACTACTGTGCGTATATATTGAATAGAAAATAAGCCTTTTGGCTGTCTTTGGCCTTTCATCGTCAGTCTCAGGTGTCGCATAATAATTGGCAATTTAGCACGTTCCAATGGTCGTCGCAGTGTACTGTATTCTGTATTTACAGAGCACGTGTGGCAGCAACGACATATGGGAAATATACGTTGTTGACAACTCATCTACAATATAACGAACACACCAACATATGGCATTTTAATTTTATAAATAATTAAAGAAATGAATAAATAAATAATCATTTAAAAAAAAATAAATTAATGCTGTAATTGGATTTTTTTAAAACTTGAAATAAATTTTGAAAATTCATAAAATACAACTGAATAATTATAAATATATGACTAAATAAATGAATAAATAACAAATTAACCAATAAAATACTGTGTTTTCAAACCGATAGTAATTATACATTAGCTGGCATCAGCCTTGAGTAGCCTACACAGTAGTAATGAAAAATTTATTTCATTATATTTTATTTAAGCTCATATAACACGGTACTGTAAATTGACATTTGCACAACATCAGTTATGTATGAGGCTTACTGGTACAGTAAAACTTCAATTTTACAAATTTTCAATTTCTTGAGATTTACAAATGAACTACGATATCAATGACGTCATCAGCAAATGAATATGTTCATCAAAAAAGTTTTCTAAGTAATAAAGCATATGATTCTTAATAAAAACATGTTTTTTGAAAATTCTCAGGCTAGATGCGAATGGAAACAGTGACTACCCTGGGCAAGCGTGCGGTATGCATATTGTTTGAACGTGCCAGCAATTGTAGTTCTCGTAGGTTGAAGGAACTGATTCCCAAGCACGCCCCCACGCCTTGTTAACAAGACAAATACCAGTACCCTGGCGAAGTCAGCGCTAAGAGAGGTACCACAAACTAATTGCTCTCATTCTTACCTCGGCTGAAGTACCCAATTCCCATGTGTTGCTTGTTTAGCATCACTCCTTAAATCATTGACTAATCAATCGTCTGCCTTGTAAAGCGGCATACAAACATCGACGGCATACAAAGGTACACAAACTGACACACAAACTAGTTTACAAATTTTTCAATTTACGAATACCCCTTGGTACCAAAGAGTACATAAGATAAACGTCTTACGGTACTGAAGATAGTAACCATATTCTCTGAAATCATTTGGTAATAATAATAATAAAAATAATAATAATAATAATAAAAATAATAATAATAATAATGGTATATTTATATACCGCAAATTGCACATTGCCCCTAAGCGCTTTTCATATAGGGCAACCAAGAAAATAAAATTAAGAACTACAATAATAAAATTAATAATAATAAAATTAATAATATTTGTCACAATAAATCGTTTTTAGTGTCGAGAAAGCTGTATGCTATTTGAAGGTGTACTGCAGTGATTAAGTTTGAGTTTTGAGTTCCTTTATTTAGTAAACAAGGTCATAAAATAGTACAAAAACAAACATACAAATTGATATAAAGATACATACAAACAATAGTCATTTAAAATTGCACAATAACATGCAAATTGATTAAGATACATACAAACAATAGTCATTTAAAATTGCACAAAAACAAACATACAAATTGATATAAAGATACATACAAACAATAGTCATTTAAAATTGCGCAATGGGCAGACCTAGATTACAAGGAATACCAAGAAAAGTTACCTTATTTCCACTTGGGACCAGTAAATACAATTTACCGCACAATTGTGCAAAAAGAAAACCAAAGAAAAAAAAAAACCTAAAAAGCTACCAGAAAACCATTAAAAGATGAATCATTAAAAATCATTACAGTTATAAATTACATCAATAAAATATTGATTATTAATGGTTAAAATAAAATTTTGATTAAATTTGTGTAGTGAAGTTGTCTTCAGAAAGACCATAGCAGGATTTGAATCAATAACCATGGCATAAGGTAAGTACCTATCCACCAAATCACTTCATTACTTTGATCCAATAAAGCATACACTGCATACATTTCAGAGGTAAATTAGGACTTGAAATTTACTGTATAAAGTCTGTTTGTCTGGTCATGTTGACCATTGGCATGTCCCTGTCAGCTTGATGATTTAGATTGAAATGAACAGAGGATGACTGACAGTTGTCATGGTGAATATCATTCAACAATACTTTGAAACATGTAGGAGATGAAATGACATCTTTAATCAACTCGACCCATTTCTCATTTTCATTTAACTAAAAGAAGTAAAGATTTTTTTTACTTGATATTCATTTTGATAAGTAGATATTTGATTGTTATTGCTCTGAACATGAAAATGTTTCTCATCTTGAATCTTAGCAATATTTCAATTTTAGTTATAGCAAGGCTTGGTTAGTGGAACTGTAGCATAGCAAGTGAAGCTGTAGCATGGTGAGGCTTGGAGCTGTAGCATGGTTAGTGGAGCTGTAGCATAATGAATGAAGCTGTAGCATGGTGAATGGAGGTGTAGGATAGTGGGTGGGGTTGTAGATGAGCTATAGCATGGTTAATGGAGCTGTAGCATGGTGAGTTTTGGAGCTGTAGTGAGCTGTAGCATGGTGAGTCTTGGAGCTGTAGTGAGCTGTAGCATGGTGATGCTTTGAGCTGTAACATGGTAAATAGAGCTTGGTGAGTGGATCTGTAACATGGAGAATAGAGCTATGCTTGGTGAAGTAAAGCTACAGTGATATGGGGGTGCAACATGCTTAATTGAACTGAAGTATGGTTAAGTAGCTATAACATCGTGAGGTAGAGCAGAGGCATGGTGAGTTAAAAGATGTAGCATGGTGTAATAGAGCTATAGCATTGTGTAATAGAACTATACTATGGTATTAAGTACAGATGTAGCATGGTAGAAGTAGCATGGTAAATGGAGCTGTAAAATGGGATGTATAGCTGTAGTATGGCCAACGGAAGCTATATTAGAGCTGCATTATGGTGATATTTGAGCTCTAGCATGGTGTGTCTGAGAAACCTATACAATCAAGCTGTACTATCTAGTACAGCTACCTATACAATCAAGTTGTACTATGATAGAGTGGGGCTGTAGCATGGTGAGGTTGAACTACTTGGGGAAGTGGTGCTGCAGCTTGGTAGGTGGGGCTGTAGTGGAGCTCTAACTTGGTGGAAAGGAAAACACTGTAAAAATGATGCACATAACACCAAAAGAAGAATAAGCTAAATCTAAGCACAATAGGTTATTAACTGCCTGGTGCATGATAACCCAGATAAGTTCAAATTACTAATTTAAGATGTGATTGGCATGTCCCAAGTCTGAATGTACAGTAAGCATAAACTCAAAATATGGAAATAATGTATCTGTAAACACACAATCTCTATTAAGGTAAAATGTAATGTGAGAAAGATTAACCCATTCTCAAAGTGAACCCAAGAACCACATAACCAATGATATTCTAGACACAATTTTAAATAGATTTCTGTTTTAAACTCCAGACACAAAAGCTCTTGTACACATTGAACCATCTCAAAAAGCATTTCAAGACTGCAAATGAAATACAAATTATAATGACTCAATTCAACATAATTACAACGCTATAATTTTATGACTCTGCTAATGGAAGTAGGTATATTTTTACAAGGTAAATGATAGCAAAAAGTACGCATAAACTCTAATCTCTATCCCAGTGAGGAGGTCGTAAATGATTAAAAGTCATTTACCGTATTCACATAAATTGAATGACACCCTCTGCTAAATGCTGAAACACAGCAATAATTTCAGTGATGACACTCACCTATCTCATTATGGGCTACATTCAGATCGCCACACAGAATCACCGGCTTCTTCTTATCCAGATCAACGAGGTAGTTACGAAAATCTTTATCCCACTCTTCCCGATATGCCAACCTGAAATCAATCAATATAAATAAGATGTTACCAATTAAAAAGTTGTATTATAAACAAGTGAATAATATTTTTAAATAATAATAATGACAAATATTTATATAGCAACAATTCCAAATTGAATGATCAAAGGTGTTAAGTGTTAAAGTTAATAAAGTTGAGAACATTGTTTTATGATCATCCTTCAGAAAACACAATTAACAAATTGCTCTCACTACAGGGAGCCTGAGGGGGGTGAATTATTCATTTCAATATTGAAACGTAACAGGCAGTTCAGGAATAAAAAAGCAATAAAATTAAAAATGTATGTACTACATCCACCTAAAATCACATGAAACTATACTAATAAAATACCAAAAGCTTAAATTCATTCTATGCAATTTATCAATACAGTATAAAATGATGATATTGTATTGGATAACAAAATAAATACATAATTAGGTTTACGTGACGCCACAGTATTGTTTCATGATGAACAGAGAATTCGGTCAAGCAAATTCCCATAATCTTTTGCATTTGGTATACAACAATCATAGGAAAAGCTCTATGTAGATGGACTATTTAGGTGATTATAACAGAAATAAATAGTCGCGCATAAAGCCTCTCCATATGCTATCTCGGGTGTATTAATTTCACAAACAAAAATCGGTCAAACATAAGCCCATAATCCAACATATTTGTCATGCATATTTCTTTTTATTGTTCGCATGTTCAGCTGCTCATCTCTCTTTACTTCATTGACGTCTGCCAACCAATTAATTCTCGCAAAACATATCCTATATTTTGTATTAAAATTCAGTTATTATAGTAATAACAATACTGACAACAGCATTCCATATTCAACGGTCACAATGATAAAAAATTTAACATAAAGTCTATAAAAATTCACACAATGTATAAAGTAGAAAAATTGTAACAATGTTAGGTTACTTCAGAATGAGAATAAAGTATGAAACAAGTTGTTCAGGTACAGTATTATCACATCTGAAAGAACCATCTACTCCAGGGATTCAATTATCAAGATTGAGCATATGGTTTTTATGGCCATTTATACACACAATTCAAAAAAAAAAAAAAAATTTAAGAGCATTTTATCTAAAGGTATACTTAAACTGACAACATTCATGTGGGTATATTGGTGAGTGCTTATTGTCGGCAGTTATACAATTCATACTTTGAGCAGCTCCAAAATTTTACCCCCTAGCTACCTGTCATTTTCCCAGATGTGATTAACCAATCGGTGCGCTCCTCAATTTCTGGACTTTAACCAATAAAAGTGCTCCACTTTCAGTCTTTAACCAATAAGAGTGCTCAATTTTCAGTTCTACACATCTGGTGTAATGAATGCGGCTGTCAGTTTTGAACCGGATGAATCCAAGGACTTTAAAAGTAGAATCTGATCATATTTCATGGAAGTTATCTCCAGGGATGAGCTTTTAAGAAGCATTAAAAAATAACACAGGTATCTTCAGGGTACTGTCAACAAGTAAGGCTCAGAAAGCAATGACCGCCAAACCTTTCCATCAAACACAGTCAGAAATACATAAAACATTATTATAGAGTGACACTGTGTTTTTAACTACAAAACAAACATTTATCAAATTTTGATGAAGGGAAGAAAGGGACATGTAGAAAGGAATTGAGGAATGAATATGTTGTAAATAGATGAGGGAAAAAAGCAATGACCGCCAAAACCTTTCCAACAAATGCAGTCGGAAATAAATGAATGAAATATTGTACAGTGTGTTTTTAACTGCAAAACAAACATTTAACAAAGTTTGATGAAGAGAAGTAAAGGAAGTGACGAATGAATATGTTGAAAATGGAGGAAATCTATTAAAATAAGTAAAAGCTTGATGAATGTATAGTACATTTTATTAACAGCTCACAGCTAGCCAAGTTACTGTTTCCTACTCTTGCAGGGGTCCCAAGTCTCATGGAATTTGCTGGAGTCTCCCGGAAATCGTGACGACCTCCCTCACTTTTCTCGCAAGCAAGCAAACAATCTCACGGAAAGTAACCCATCTCCTGCAAATTCAAATTATTTGCATATAAATTTTACTACTACATTCTACATTGAATCACGTAAGTCAGTGCCGATGGGCATCACCATGCCGATGGGCATCACTTTGCGCAGCAAAATAGAATTAAACATGTTAAGAAAGTTCATTTAACCAAATCTCACGGACAGGATTAGTTCCAACTTGGGACTCCTGCTTTTTCTGCTAGTTCCATAACGATTTATGCAAGTGACATTTATAAAGCAAGGGTCAAGAAAACTGGGCACACCACTTGTATTCACTATTGTTTGGCATTGAGAACTTTAATAGGGAAAGTAGGGAGAGCTTTTCATTTGCATGACGATTGGATGCTACAACAGATTCACTCAAGCGTGACCTTTCTACATTCTCAGCACAATAGATTTGTCCAAATTGCATCCTAGAATACTAGAAAAGTACTACATCAAAGTCTAAGACGTGGTTATACTAAATGTTAACAACAATGTTTGGACATTATGTGGATGTGGGATCCAAAGGCCGAAAAACAGCAGGAATCTACTGTTCACTGAACAAACAGCGAAAAGCGTAACTTTGAGGGCAAACAATCTAAAAATTTCTCCATTAAATTCACTCGTCTCTTCCAAAGTTTAAAAAAGAATTGTTCAATACTTCCACTTCCAGTTAATATGCATCTGGATTTTGAAACAATAGGTTCAAATTTAAAAAATATTTTACTAGAATCCTGACTACCGTATATTCTTGCGTATAAGATACAGGATGACCCCCGAGTTTTACAAGATTTTGGACAAAATTTGTATGTTTGGCGTATAAAGCAGAGGGCACACTCACTGCATTGTACGACTGTCATGCATCAAATTCAACTCCATTCCCTTCGAGTGCTGGACGACCCAATTGGTAGTAATCTGAATGGATCATAATTAAAAATGATCCATTGCGCACATGCTGTGGCATTGTGTTCTCCATAGAATCGCATCGGAACACATTCATTTATACTAACAGTTAGTAGCTTCATTAGCTTCACAGTAAACACGCATGTCACAGACAATCTGCACATTATTTTAAAAATTTGTATGTTGTGCAGATAAGACGACCCACTGTTTTTTTCATACTATTTTAAGCCTTGTTTTGTACACAAGAATACACAGCAATTAGTTGTGATAATGTTTATTTTTGCTTTCAACATACTGCTTTTGTCTTAATTATATTTAATTGAAATTCTGGAACTGCAAGAAAGATCAGTACAGTAGTAATTGATGAGCCATCTAGAATAAAGACAGATTTGAAGTTAAACAAACTTAATCCTGAAATTCTTTACATAATCTCGTACCAGAATCTCCTACAAATTAAACCATAATACAAAAGATTCAAAAATAACAAGTGAGTATATTAATAACAAACTTGCTCATGAAAAATTGACACTAGCTTAAATTATAAATGGCCATAAAATCCTACTAACAGACAAACAATGTAGGTGTGAAATTTCTAAAAGGAATTCAAATCAATATTTTCTAAGAAAACAGTAATCTTATAACGCATACTTTATGTATCCTTATGTGTAATAGCAAAGAAAAGAGACAATCTGATTGTGATGCAGTTTGCATTTTTAAGATCATGTGTGAAAATAATGAATAAAAAAACATGCAAAAAAAAAGAATAAATGGCCAACAGATTCTAATAACTACGCTGTAGTGTATGTGTAAATATTTTAGAAATTATTATCTGAAACAAAAAACTCTTAATGCACATACTTTAAGCGTATTTCATGTCTAATTATAACAGTGAATAACACACTTGAAAATCTGTTTTCAAAATAAGATGTGACAAATAATGAAAAAAAAAATGATGTATGTCAAGAATAAATTTAGAATTGCCATTAAACACTATTAGTATGTGATTAAACAAAAACAGGCAGCGTATTTTAGATAATGTGTGGAATTCTTATTTAGAATTTATATACAAGCACAGCAATCCATCACTAGTGTAAAATAAGTGTGATTTGGTTTAACACAATTTTGTTATAAGCACATGGACCGCAAAAAGATCCTGGAAAGTGTTTTAAGACTTTAAGTTAAACTAAAAATGTTCATCTCCTCTCCCACGAAGAAAAATCTGTAACTAAACATTGTGCCCTTTAAAATATGATACTAAAAATGTGTTATCTACAGAATAAATTCTGTACTGAAAATCCCTTTAAAGTGCAGTATGTAAATTTGTTCATACAGTGAGGCCCAGGGTACTTAAATGCAAGTACAGTATTTTCAAGTATGTAATTTGTAAATCAAAATAAAAGTTCAAAGTGATGTTTAAAAAGTACATACTCAAGTAAACTTTTTAGAATAGTTTTTAAATTTGTTTTATAACCCAGAGATTTAATCAGTAGAGCACCAACAGTGTAATTTGGAAGAACTTGGTTCAAATCCTGACGGGTTATATATATTTATTTCTTCTTTTCTTTTGCATTTTGAGAATTGATTGCAACGTATTCTTGTCATTAATTGATGGTAATGTCTAGAGGTGATGTCTCATTGACTTTGCCACTAATTGATCGTGTTGACGTCATTCCTCGTCGGCCTTGCCACTAACAGGGATCCCCAATTAGACAAAGCGACAATAACCTCTTATACACAGCTTACCATTATTGCTACTAAATTGAACAAAAATCCAAATTATATCTACTTAATTTATCTGACTGAGCTTGACAGAGCTTATTATGTATCCAAGGCTGAAGACAAAATATTGCTTTGTTCAAATAGCACTCAAACCAGGTCCCTATTCTTTCCTTTTTATTCAGATTCAGATTTCAGATTCAGATTCATATTTATTCACACAATGCATAAAGGTGGTAACAAGACAAAAATAATAAAGATGCAAGCAAAATCGAATGCAATTGTGTCTGGAGAAGTCAAATAAGCCCAAATGGCTTTACGACTGGCTCCACCAGAGAAAAATGAAAAGTAATTTGTTCCATAATCAAAGACAAGACAAAACACGACGGAACGAACACAAGGGAAAAACGACAAAAGGAAAAACGACCATGCTTTTAAAAAAAAAAAAACATATACATAGATTTGAACATTATAAAGGTAGACAAGGGAAAAGAAGATAAACTGGGATTGGATAGGATGACACAAATATGATTTAAATAAAGAAGATTAGTGGAGTTAAAGTCTGTAATTAGATATGAGGAACGATTTATATTCTGATTTAAATGAATAACTACTTTTCGGATTTGTTAGTGATGTGCTGAAGGAGTTCCATAATAGGGGGGCCTGAATGTATTATTGAATTCCTGTTTGATGTTCGGTTTTTATTGTGATGATTTTATTGTGATGTATTTATTTGCATTCCTAGTATTATAGTTATGTAATTCATTGTTTTTTGTGAAGTATCCTTTGAAAGCATTTGGGAGTTTATTGTGAGAATACTGGTACATAAATAGGGCGGTTTGTAATTTATTATGTCAAAGATGTTTAGAGTGTTGAGTTGGTGAAAGAGGGGATTGGAATGTGATTGGTATTATTATTATTATTATTACTGTATATTTATATAGCGCATATCTAAAACTAATTACTAAAAAACATTGATTGATATCAAAAGAATTCGCAACAATTGACGGACTCCATTTTCGGACTCCATTTTCAAATACACAAGACGTGGAAAATGAATATGGCAATCTTTACAATAAAGACATTAGATGGCCATTTTACTAAGCACGAGGTTAGATGGAAATATTTATGAGTATCAATTTCTGAATAATGGTGTGCAGTTCAGTGGTTGGCATGTCACATGGTATGCAGTTCACTACCATGATGTACAGTTGACTGGCACCTACTGTTCTGTTTGTTAAATATTATTGTCATATTCATCTTTAAAGTTTGTATAACATTTAAAGCCCATTCTGGTTTTCTTCCAATTTGGAGTACAGTAATTATTAGAATAAAAAAACACGATCAAGAAAAAATTAACAGGCATAATTATATAAATGAATGAATAAAGTAGAGTAAAATAAATAAATCTTAAAGTTTGCAAATGATTCTGTGCTCTATTGCATGACTGCTTCATAAAAGTTAAATGTCTAATAGAAAATCCATAATAGGAATTACACAGCTTTCACATAATTGGCGAGCCACCAGAAAATGCTTTGATGTGACACATCATCTCAATCCACTGAGTGATTGCTGTTACTATGGGCCTGTTAACACGTCATTACACGCCTTATCAGTGCGGCAAAGTTAAGTGTGTTGTATAAACGAGTTTGGACTCTGTGTGATTACAAAATCATCTGGAAAAGAGGCTACTTGAGGAATCGCCAAATTTGGCCGGTTAGTGACACTGGCAATGACTATTTGTTTCCTCAGGCTACGGCGAGCGGTAATTAATCAACTTGACAGGTCGCTATTTCGGTAGAATATAAAGTATCGCTGGGTGTAGGCATATTTAGTGATTTTCTTGTATGTTACCTTTTTTTGTTGGTTTCATTGTTTTTGAACTTTTTTTTTTTCTTTTTTAGTACTGTACTGTAATTTTATTTTGGATTTGTATATTTCTGTGATAGACCCTACTTTTTAGGCCTTTTTTTTGTTAATTACACGGCTTAAGTGCTACTGATATAAAAGTGCACATCTGAATAAATTAACATTATTATAATTATATTTTCTTTGTAATTATCGCTCGACAAGTAACGCGATGAAATCAAGAACATGTCACTGTTGTCTTGTCGCTCTGCAAGCCTACATTGCACAATACAATACTTTCGGGTGTAACACACGTATTGGTGTGTTGTATAAACAGCGAAGTTTGGATGGTCGCCTTGGGTAGTGAAAATACATTCAAGGACATAAAACTGTGTTCGTGGTTAGTGTGTTGTATAAACACAACCTATGACAACCTATCCAGTCCAGACTTTGAGCACTTTGGAGGCGACATTCCAAAAACTTTTAGCGGTGATAAAAATCAATGATGGACTTACCTCACTAACTTCTTCCCTGCATTCGGAACATCTACAAAAGATATAGATTGTTAATAATATATAAATATATGTTTTTACTTTCACAATTTATGCATCAATCATTTTGAATCTTAAATAATCAATATTTTTTTAGAATGATCTAATATATGTCACATAGTAGTTATATTCAAATACAAACATTTCAGGATCAATGATATAAGATGAGCATACAAATTTAAAAATTAATTAATCTACTGTACTGTATGTAACCATCAGAAGTAACGATTGGAAGTAATGAACAGAAGTAACCAGTGCAAAAACCACTGGAATTAACCTCTGTAACGAACAAAACCAGTAAAAGTAACCAGTGGGGGAACCAGTGAAAGTAACTGGTAGGAGAAACCAGAAGAAATAGGTGGAAGTAACCAGTGGCAGATAACAATGATAATGATATTGACAAGAATGGAATTACTATAAACAGCAGAATGAATGAGTGGATAAAATAACTAGTGGAAACATACCTACATATTGTTGGAGTATAATGATCAAGAAAACCAAATATTACAAAATGTGATGGATTTTGAAAATGAATTATTATATGTCCACCACTATATACAATTATATATTAAACAACATATACTGTACTATGTTTTTTATATTTTAATGTTGATCTAAAAGAACTAGACAGCTGGAGCAGCACTAAAACTTCCAGTATATGAAACATAATGATGCCTACATCTATGTCAGCTATTTAATAGGCTTTAAAAACCATAAATAACTCACAAACTGTTTTTGAACATAATTACCTAAATGTATTCTATAAGTACAGTACTGTAATTACTTTATTGAGACAGGTAATGCTAGCAATTGATCATTTACCCATTTAAGTAATTTTTAAAAATAATTTTTCATCCACTAAAAACAGGAAAATCATCCTTCAAAAGACACAATCACTTAAGGATATTACAAACCATAACCTTGAAAAACTAAATCGATAGGAAAGTTAATAGATAAGAAGCATCAATTCTTGCCAAGATTATCAGGTCAGTTTATAAACTTAAGTTGCAGTATATAAAGAAAAATAGAAGCTTACTATCCTAAGGATTGCTACAAAAATTATTAATACCTCAGTCAAGGAGGCTATGCATTCACTGCTGTCTGTCTTTCTGTCTGTCTGTCTGTCTGTTACAAGATTACGTAAAAACTACTTAAAAAATCATCATAAAATTTAGTGGAATGGTACATAATGTTCAAAAAAAGACACCATTCAATTTTTTGAAAGAGAGAGCCAAAGAACAAGGTCAGGGAAATTCAATTTATTTTACCCTCGAACATAAAATTAAAAATTTATTATTATTTGTAGTTTTTTAATCTTATAGAATTTACATGCTAAACTCCTATGTAGCTCAGCTGATTATATCACCAATTTCTTTTTATGTTTTGAATTTATCTTGGGCGAGATTTTTTTTTAAACTTGTTTCGCAAACTTTTTTTTTTAAAGATCCTCAAAGGAGGGAGGAATAAAAATTAAAACAAAATTTTGGTTTTTCATTTAGCAAATAAGTTTTGCCAAAAACATCCAGATGGAGGAGAAAATTAAGATAAAATGTTATTGGTGAATGTAAACAATGTAGTAATGGATGGTTAAATGCTTTAAATTCAAGGGAGCCGGGGACATAATGAAAATAAAGAAGAACTTCTATTTTTTTCTGAAATTTTAATTCTTTTTTTGGTGGTGGCGGGTGTGCTAATTGGCTAAAAATGAAATTTTATTTTTATTCAAAATCACGATTATTGGCAGAAAGTCTCGCCTTCATTTAAGTGTTAAATGTGACCCAATTTCAAGATAGTTCTGCTTATCAAATACTGCAAAACAGGTTAACAATAGAATGATTAATTTCTTTGACACATTTAATTTATTTTATAGGCTTTAGCAAGAAGCTCAGTGCCACGTATACTTAATTTAAGTATATTCAGCAGAATGGCAACAGAAATTCAACTATTGAGAAAGACACTTCACCTGGGGATTTGACAACATACAAAACCTCTACACAATAAGTAAAACATAGGTATTACTACCAGTAAGTGAAAATATGAAATATGGAAATAAGTAAATTTGATGTGCTGACCATTAAGAAAAATTTATATATATAGGCCCTACTAATGAATATAAAGTATAATACTGTAATCTATGGTATGAGCAATGTTTGTCTGTGGAAGAGTACAAAGATTATTTTGTTAATACATCATCAATACCCGATTCAAAAAAAGTTCTAAATATAGACTTCAACCACTTAATAATTTCAATCAAATACTAATGGGTATTTCCGAGGCATACATCATATCATTTTTAAAGCATGTAGGTAGACTGTAAAATTCAACATTTTCAAGGTCCGGCTCAACTTAATGGCTCTTACGCATTGTCATCAAATGATTGCCATAATGTAGCTAAGCACTCAAATTTCTGGACTTCATTTCAGGATAATTCTACATAAAATAGTGAACAATTCATTTCTAGTATTGAAAAAAAAACCAAAAAAAAAACAGAATACTGTAGGAAAATATACTTTAAAAATAACCAAAAAAAATGTACTAGTAATGTTGTGAATGTATCTGTTAATTATGATGCCCATGCTCTATGGATTATAAGGCAACTATAATTTATTAGAGTTTATATAATTAAATGACTTATATCTTGTAAATCTTTTATTCCTTATTGTTAATATTCTTGGTGACTTCTTGTCTTAGTAGCTGCGAAAGGTCCCCATATTTGGTCAACACAACCATTTCTTTCCATTGAATTTCAAATAAAATTTGAGTCTAGTCAAATACATTAGACAGTGATTTAAGCATTAATCTTTCATTTGAACCAAAAATACATTCTGAATTCTATTTTTTATAAGTTCTACTTTCATATTCAAAATGCAATGGTACAAAATAATGTGGCAATTCTCCACACCGGTACCTTGTAATCTGAATTTTAATCAAAACAAAATGTAATGATTATTCAACTTACACCATAAAATGAATATCAGATGTGAATCTACTTGCTTCGCTGAGTATATGCATTAATTATTAAAAAACACAGGCATCTATAAATGTCAGGCTTACTGCAAACGTGCAGGCTTCAATTCATAAACACCCAGGTTCTTTACATGTTAGTATGCAAATCGACAATTTGTTTATTTAAGTTTGAGATTAACTTTGAGTATTTATTATCTATGAATGTTTAGACTGCATAAATCAAATATTTAATAATTCCTACTTCAGATAAATCATTAAGATACGAATCTATGTGTGATAAAGATGACACACTGTAAGTGTGCTAATTCTACTTTCAGAACTGTCTTAGTTCCTGATTCAATCTACTGATTGCTGTGTTTTTTCAGCTAAGAGCTGCAATACCACAAATGCCATGTGCATGTTCAAAAAAGCAGGCCCTCTTTTGAGAGGAGCAGAGGATTGTAAAACGTCTCACCCAAAAGACTGTTTAATAACTACGCTAGCTTAAAAACCAGGAGAGCAGCAGATGGAATTGACTGGGTACCAAACGATGTCCACGTTTCAGCCTACACACAGTAGTACCAAGCCAACTCTATGCTTTTAATTTCATTTTCGAAACTCATATACCATAATATAAAATTTCAAGAATAAAAAAACACAAAAAAGTATGGTAACACAAAGGCCAACTAACTTCCACTGTGTTCCTTAAAAATTTAATTACGCCAAAAATATTATTTCAAAACATTAAATACAACATAGATCTAATACTAAGTTCACTGACCATTGGCATTGATATGGTTCTTCTCTGTACAAAAATTTCCTTGTCTTTACTATAGTAAAGGAGTACAGTATGTTGAAAATACGTCTTCAGACTTTTCATTGCTTTCTTTAGTGTTTTTTATATAAAAATAATACAATCAGATCAGGTTAGACTACAATACTTTATGAGGAACGCCCACACATACTTGGCTGGATGTCTTTCAGTGACAAGCGAAAACTCATTCTAATTTCTTTTATATTTAAATGTTTATATCGTTGCATTGATTGCAATAATTGTTATGAAGCATATCACATGTTCTAAAACTTTCAAACTGTTCCTTATAAACTCAAGACACCACTTTCTTCAGTAGCTTCTCATTCACTTTACTTTCCTTTTTTACTTTCACTGTTTGCTCATGTTGTCAGGTGGAACACTATTTAGTTTTAATATTTTGTAATATTTATTGTATTATTTTATTTTAAATTGTTCATTGATTGGTATTTTTTTTCTCTTTTTTTCTTGAATTTTTATATATTTTGTTTTATGTTATTGTATTCAGTATGTTACATATTTTATTATTATTGTAAATTAAAATTGTTTGTTAACTTGTATTTAGTTTATTGTGTGTTTCTTTGTTAAAGGGACAGTTGGCCCTTTATTGGTTACAAAGATCCAATTCTCTTATATGGTCCCTAACCATTTTTTTTTTGTAATTCAAACTGTGGTTGGATAAATAAATGAAATGAAATGTATGAATGCAACATTGAAATACACTGCATAATGTGCGAAAACATGAATGTCTGAAACTGCATATTAAATATGGATGTTCCACCCTGTGGAATGAATCATTAAGGTGTGAAGGTGGGGTCAAACCTGGGTTATGACCTTCGACAAATGTCACACTACAGTCGTAAATAGTATGAATGTTTTATTACAAACATGATTAAAGGTTTAATCAATCCCGAAGGAATCCTGTTATATCAATCATAGTGTATCAAGAGCAGTGAACCACTGCCATTAATAATGTATTGTATAAATAAGGATTAAAAACTGAATATAGTACATGTTAACCCTATTGCAGGAGCTATTTGGTTAAAGGGTAAGCTTCATTAGGTTTGTAATTTCCAGAAATATGCCAATTTTATCGAAGAGTAGTTTAACAGTTAAATATATAAGCACCCTGTGCAATGTATTCATATATCTTGTCACAACAAAGTTGACACTGATATATAGTAACTCCATATTCCATTCACTATTTTCAAATCAGAGCCCGGAGCATTCATTAAGTGGGTTTGTGTGTGACATTTTGTTGAAACCGTGTGTATTTTTTTTTTAGTACCTGTAACATTGACATTTATAAAATTACTTATTAAATATCATGTTGGTTTATATTAATTTACCCACATCGATTCAATTCTTTAAGACCCAATGAAAATAAGTAATTATTTTTGTTATTAACTTTAATGTTTTAACAAGAAAGTAGCTCAGTAGCCATATTAGTCAGTGCATACAAATGGAAAAATGAGTAGGTAGCCCTTTTTTTACTTTTTTTCACAAGCTTTGGCCCAGTCAATGGGGCTTCATCATGTGAGTCTAACAGTTCTGTCCTAACAGTGATTTTGTATGTTGGAAAACTTAAGCATTTTGGTATCTATATTCTCCATTTGAATGCGCAAAAAAAAATTACAAGATGTCGAGTGATTGAATAGGTGAATAGATCTTTACTAATCTGAATCGCCTCTTTACATAATTTATTACTGGAGTACTTTTCCAGTTTCCCGTCTGACTGGGTATATATGTATATATTTTGCCACTTTCATAGTTGACTAATAATTGTCTTATTTTAAGTACGATTCTGCCATTGCACAGGTGGGTGGAGCCTAGTTTTCATCAGAAAAAATACTAGCTGAATACTGCCATTCGTAAGACAGTAAATGAAAAGAAATCTGGGATCACCAATAGAGGGAGCAATTCATTGTTTTCACAAAACTAATATCAATCCAAGTATACACTTCTGTGAGTACTTTAAATTATTATAAGAAAAGAGAAAATAATTAAACTAAACTTAAAATCATGCATTTAAATGTTTTTGCACATAAACCATCTTTTTATTCCTAATAATCAGAGCAGCATACAGCTGGGGATTCACTGTCATAAGACCTTCGGCCGACGATTCCAACGCCACTCCCAGTGAGTGTCAGTCAATGTGACACCGTCTGTTGATTGTCAATGGCAGTCTGACAAGATCATCATTAAAATGATCCACTGCGCGCGCGTCGTGCTGCTCTCCATAGAATCAACTTTAGGCTGGAGTGTAGCATAGTCCAGTGGTTGAAGCTGTGTTAAAATGTGTGTGTTCCCAAAACTAAGACACTTTTAGAATTCCTGCTAATACTGTGTCAAGCTGCAGATCATGTAGAATATAAATTATAGAGACTACCCTCCAAACCTCTCAACGTTAGAAAACTTTAATCAGACTTCCACGTGATCATTCCTCCAAAGGTTCGCTGTCCAAATAATGTAAGCATTTTCTTAAACATACAAAAATGTCCTCGTCTTTATGGGAGCCAGAAGGCCAAGATGTATGCTTTCTGGTTATAAACTACAGCCTCTAAATTTCTTTACTTACTTTACTACGAGGTTTGAGTAACTGGCCCCAATGAGTTTATGATGCAAGTTCACTCAATAACATACTTCTTTGTTAATTATATACTGATACCTGAATGCCATTAAAATTAAAAATTAAGAAATAGTAAAAAATTGTACTTTTTCTTACATGAAGTCACCAGATAAAACTTATCATACTCTGCAGTGATGACACGCCCTTCTTTATCATGCTGCTCACAGCCTGAAATAAAATCCAAATGCTGAATTTTACTAAAAGTGTAATCATAGCATCTTCAAAATAAGAAAATTTGACAATTTTGAATGTATTTTGCAAGAAAATGTAAGATGTGGAAACCATATTTTTTTTACAATAACACATTCATACATATAGATACAATTATTTTGTGCTACACAAGATTTTAGTACTGTATAACATTTCTTACCAATTCCATATGTAACATTCAGTGGTTTAACCTTTGACATAATACCAGTCCCTGCATACCCAGCCTGCTCAGCTGCATACCAGTAGTTATGGTAACCATCAATTGTACAGGATCCTGGGATTGATTTCTCATCACACTTTGTCTCTTGCAAGCAAAGAATATCCGGGCCATCCAGTGTCAAGTACTTCAAACCGTCTTTCTGTTGAAGCAATTTTGTAAATTTTAACATCAGCAAATTTGCATCCTAATGCAGTAATCTTATTTTCAGATCAATTTATAAATGCATATGATACAGACAGATAGACACCAAGGGAATTATCATCCTGAACTCTTTCAACAAGATTTAGCGGAGATGCAACAAGAATAAAATGTTGTTGAGAAAGATTAAAAATTTGAGATAGATTATCATTTGTTTACATCAATGAGAAGAAAATGATGGAAACAACCAATGAAGTGTATCGCAACATTTGGCAGCTTGCAGTTGAACTGCTTACTCTGTATACTTCAAAATCATCCTTGGGTTTCAATAAAAAAATTTATTTACATATACCACTCCTATAGCTGTTGCATACCTTTAAATGTATGAGAATACAAAGTTGTACAGTGTATTTAGATAACATTAACAGTGTACACACTAAAAAGTATATTAATATTATAATAATTATAAATAAAGAATATCTGAACTACACAACACTGATTTAAAGTTATAAAGATTGAAGCTTTGTTTAATAGCAAGTGTTTTGAGCAATTGGAATATGGTCAGCTGAGTTTTCTTATAGTGTGTCATCAAGGCTAAGTTGGGCCATTTTCCTGAATGCTTTAAGCATTACCTTTTCCCAAGCTCTGAGCCCATTCACATTCCATGAAGAAATTTTAAAGTTCCACTTTCTGAAAAAGAAGAATAAAGTAAAATCAAATATTTTAATAATAACACAAACCAGTAAGTAGTGTAAACCGTTGGCCCCTGAATCCAATTCCACTGCATGTGAGAATTAGATGATGGGCTGCCATCTGTTGATTGTCAGCGGCAGTCGGAACGGATCGTCATTAAAAACTATCGGTTGCACACACGTCATTGCATTCTCCATAGAATCACGTCGGCCAACGGCCGACGGAAGCAGTGACTGCCTAGCTTAAGACTTGGCTTTAACAACTGAACCAACTTGACTGTATAACTATGAAAAAACCCAATTCTTAGATTATATGATCAATGTTACCATCTTGGATTAAGGGATTAAATCATTCTTAAGTAGTCATTAAGGAGACTAGCCAATCAGAGAAGATAGTCAATGCAGTGGCGGTGCTAGCTGGGGGAGGGAGGCAGGGGCTTAAGCCCCCCACAGGACAGGTCAAGGCCCACCACCGGCCAGAGCTCTTTGGGCAGTCGGACCAAAAAAAAAAAAAAAAAATATGCCTAATGAAATGAAATGCATTTTGAGTTGAGTTTGGGAATATAGAACAATTCTCCCCACCCCTCTATCCGGTCAGAAAGCCATTCAATGGCAGTTCGCGCCAAAGTTATCCTTAGCTCATTCAGCACCCCTGTCGGACAGCTTATCCCCACCCCCAAAAAATATATACTACAGCTGCCACTGAGTCAACGATAATAAACTTAAAAAAATGTTATTCAGGAGAGAAACTTCCTTGATCATAAAACTAATAATAGCTCTAATATATATTTTTATTGCTGACATGATGAAATTCATGCATTAATTGTTTATTGCTACAAAAGCCAGCTTGGGACAAAATCTGTTTAAATAATTACTCTACAACAAAACATCATACAAAAAAAAAGAAGACAAAAATGACTTATTTTATTCTAACTTCAATATGCATCCTGGGGTACACATGTTACTCCACTAATGTTTTGAACCACGGGGAGCTCACTTGCATACCAACCTAACAGGGGGTTGCCGTAGCCACTACAAGACATGAGACACTTGCGCTACCTATTTTACTGAATATTCTTGTAGACTTGAACTAACGTTTATTACACTGTGCTCTAAAAGACTACAGGAAAAAGGCCACTCAATAGTGCCAGAGAGGGCGCAATATTAACTGGTTCCTGATGGCAAAACTGTTCCGTCCGGTCGCAATCTGGTGGCTGTACCAAAGGTAGGCTTAGCAAGGGGCTTACCGGTTTAGCACCCAGTCTAGCTTAAAATTCCCGCTAACATAATGCGGAAAATCGTGGCACTTTGACACAGGATAGGCAAGGGACTTTAACTACTAATTTCACCCTGGTTATTGCCCACACTTGTGCTACAAAGTCCTTGCAAGTATACCCCATAGATTTTGAAGTATAAATATACGTCAAATACAAAATGCATGACGTATTTGAAGTATACCCCATAGATGCTGCAACTCCCATATATTTCCGACACTTGTGCTACCAAGTCGTCGAAAATATACCCCGTAAATGTGGCACCTCCCCGTATAGAAATATTTAAGAGTGAGCCCCCCTGGGTTTGTACACCTCGTTTTTAGACCAAATTGTGAATTATGGGCAGATGTGTAAGTTCACTAACGTCCAAATAAACCACATACCCACTCGTAATTGAAGTATTCGTCATGGGGTAGGGATGTAACGCCAACTATGTTGAGAATAATACACCTGTCAACTGTCATGCATAATGCGTGAGGTGAGTATCACGCATCAGCATCCACATTACATCTGACGCCTACGTTGTATTATCTCACACATTATAACAATTTTATAAAAGATAACATGTACAGACTGATTATGCCATAAAATTCATAAATATAAATATGAGGGCGCTATATACAAATTATATTTTTTTGTCTCACGCATCAGATGCCAACAAAGTTGGCAGATATAGAATAACAACACACCCTCATATATCAACTATGCATTATGGATGTTACCTGCATACAGTACCTCCATCCTAACCAAACTGTGCATTACTGGGTCAGATGGAACCGGACTGATGGTCTAGGGAGATTTTATGCAAATTTGCAGAGATAGTACAAAAACAAATTACATAGGAATGTCAAAGATTCTGGCAGAAATGGCCAGGAATTGTATTCCAATTTTGCGGAACATTATCAAAGGCGCTGTGCACCTTAATGATGGAAAAGGCGAGTTTTAAGTGATTTTTTAAAATGAAGCAACAGAAGAACAGTTTTTAATGTGTGCAGGGAGTGAATTCCAAAGTGTAGGTGCAGCAAAAGAAAAAGATTTATGGCCAATAGTTTTTAAGTTGAATGACATACATACTGTCAAAAAAAAAAAATATTCAACTCAGAGCATGTGAATAGGTTCATTACAAAGTTGTCAAAAAAAAAAAATATTCAACTCAGAGCATGTGAATAGGTTCATTACAAAGTAGAGTAAACGTTCACTGAGTTCAGATCAGGAAGTTACTCTAGACTTTTAAATATTTATTTTTTATATATACATTTACTGTATTCATTACTAATAATTTCAGAAAATTAAAATTTTCTGAAAAAAAAATGTAATGTTTTTACCTGTACAGAACTACTTCTATTTTAAATACTCGAAAATCACTCACGATAAAATTTCAAATAACTCAATAGTTTTGGATTTTCCATTCCCTATAGCCACCCTCATTATACATACTGTATATACCCTCCCAACCATATTTTGAGAACCTCTGAGTAACTACAACAGTGATTTTTGATCTTAGTCCTTCCTAATTCCATCATGTTATGATTTACTCCTTTTTCTGCATTTTGATTGTGCTTAAAATTGTTAATGTAGTTTTTAAATCTTGATGATTATATGAACTAGTTACAGAAATATAAATAGAAATTCCAGTGAGAGAGCGTATCAACAGGTGCAAGCACCTCTATCACGATACGCTCTCCAAATGCACAAAACCCAACGGCAAATACTTAAAAATATAATTCGAAAAGAAAATAATTACACAGTTCTACATACATAATAATATAAGTAATAAAGAAAAAAGTTACACAGTTCTACATAAATGACAAAAACATTTAGTTTATGATTAGTTAATGATTACTATTACTTACTCGCCAGATGCAGACTTTTTGTCTGTGTTGGGATCCAATGTGTTTGCATCGTCTGGCATCTTATTGGCTTCTGTTCCTTCAGTCTAAAAATTCAAGGTATACAACAAATAAATTTAATCATCTCAGACAACACAATTTGTCATTGGCATAATTATACACAACAGGGAGACAACCCCTACTGATGGACAAGATAATTAGAGAAAAGTTTCTAAACAAAACACAAGCAAAGAATGACATTGGCAGGTTTAAAACACATCCTCCCCCCTCCTCCTCCTACCAGGTACAGTCCCTTCTGGACCCATACTCATATAGTAGGGTCAATGTTTCATTATTTCTTTGACATTCTATATTAAACATGTATTTTCCCCTGAAATGACCAATCAACATAAAAAATAATTTTGAAATTAACTTGCTCATTTTGCAGTAACATAAAAATAGAAATAGAAAAATACAGCATAGAAATATTTATTTAAAAAAATGTGTACCCTGATTTTTAAACTGGATGATTAGAATAAAAACAATAAGACACTTCCATTGACTAGAAATATGTTTCTATCATTTTTTTCTTTAAAAAAAGTATGGGTAAATATTTTTTTAAATACACTAATTTATATATCAAGTCATTAATTTTTATGTTACTTCAAAACTGGCAGGTTCTTTTCAAAAATTATTTTGAATTTTTTGGTATTTTGACAATACATCTTTTAAGGTCTTTGGTTATTTTATATTTAAATACTGTATTTTCATTTTTCACTGTATCTTAATTATATTATTTCATTTTTAAAAAATATTATAAGAATTTATGTAGGGCCTACTTACATATTTATTGACAAAGACGACCCCTAAAAATACTGCAACTCTTTAAATACCATATCAATGTCATTTTTTTTTTATTAAAAAAAAAATCTAAGTAAATAAATCAGTAAAAACATTACAATGTAATAATAAAAAAGTTGACATGATATTTTCCGTTTGCTAGCATTGACACTTGTGAAATATAATATTTCATTGGAATTATTTCAAATTTGTTGAAAATGATTCCGACCAAGCTTTTGACAATTAAACACACATATCTCGGTCCTACTCGATCGACCGCAGTGTGCGAGATGCGAAGCACAAAGACTAATAATAATGACAGCCCTCAAAATTAACGTCGGCATTCGGCAATGCCGACGTAAATGCCGGCGTCTAAGCAGCCGACGCCGGCGAGAAATTGCCGACGTGAAATAGGCCTAGGGCCTAGGCTATTTCAATTAGGCCAGGCCTAATCCATGCAAATTATTAGAATACTGTAGGCAGTTTTATTATGTTGAATTGAATGAATTAAAAAATGCAATGTGAAGTAGAAATATTTTTGTTAACTGTATGTATGTGTTTTATTTATTTGAGTCAAGCAACTTACACAATCAACCAAAACATCATCGCACGCTAACATCGTAACACGCAGTGAGAGTTTGGCTGTTGTTTTGAAACGCGGGCATCACATGATGCCCATGTGACGATTAAACCATTATTGGTGGGGTAAAATAGTAAACACAGTAGAAACTTTTAATTCGTATTATCGGTATTCAGTGTACCGGTATTGACGGTGAAATAAGACGATCCCCCACACAGCTACGAATTAAACCACAACACGAAATGAAACGTGCATTGACCGCATGGATCGACTCGAGAGTGCTTTTTGTGTTTTCATGTCCGTAGTTTACTGTCCCCTGCTTGGTGGCTCGGTGAAGGTGTGATTTTATATTATTATTTTTATTTCAAATAATAAGGTGTACGTAATTCAATGTTTAGTTGGTGCTTGTTTTGATAGCTACAGCTAGCCTAAGCCTTAAGCTAGCAAGTTCGTTCTAGGCCTAAGTAACTTATTATGAAACACCCACAGCAACTGCGCTGTGTGGATCGGTGCACACTAAGCTGTTTACGCAATAATAGATACATGATGCACAACATTTGAAAAATGCCGGCGTATCGCCAGCGTCAATTTTTTAGCGCCGGCGATTTTTTGCCGACATGCTTTACTCCTAATTTTGAGGGCTGATAATGAATTTCTTGATCAGTGCAACGTTATTTATGTAATTTTTTATTCTGAATTTGAATGTTCTTATATATTGTTCTATAGTATTTTTATGTAATCACTTTTTAATGTTTGTGCAATTATTAATATTTACCTTTTTATATTATCCAAATGATGTATTTTCATTTGTAATAAAATTGAATTGAACTAATGTCATTAGAGAGGGCGTACATTACTGATTGTATACAGTATACACAAAAGCAAGAGCATTCCAGCGGATGCGATCTACAAGATCTGAATTTGCCTAATAAAGAAGAATTTGTCGAGAAAATTGTAATCTCCTATGAGAAATAATCTCTATTTTTCATTTTTTTATCCTTTTGTGTAAAATTTATGCCAATATTTTTCCATGGTTTATAATAATTAGAGTAATGTATATGCATTTTTTCACAAATTAGAAGAATTTAAGAATTAGAAGTGAAGTTGGTATCTATCTATAAATTGTGGAAGATGTTAGTTTGACATCCAAACAAAAAGAGAGCATTTGAATTTGAAAGTGTAGCTGTAAGGAAACAGTATTCTTTACTTACCTTGGCTTGCTTGGATCCATCTGATGCTTCATCATCTGCCTGCATCAGATAATAAAATAAATTTAGTTACAGTATACATAAGTCATTCACTTGATTTTTGGCTAATTTTATGCAAATCTGTAGTGCTGATTGGAACTGGCTTCACACGTAACATTAATAAACAGTTAACTCATTTCATTTTTTTTTCTCCCTACTGTGGGGAAAAACAGTTCACTCCACTGTGGGCTGGCATCTGTCCCCCTCCCCACTGGCACCACCCCTTCCCCTGTACTGCTGTATTAGCAAATTTCTATATTTTTTATCCGAAGTGAAACTTGAAAAAAATTAGTATCAGACAGAAAAATATGGTTGCAATAGTCATGCCTGGACCTAGGCCAGTCCTACCTTGCGTTTTTTCGGCATCCTTATCGTCCTATTTTCTTCAGTTGAAGTCGTTGCAATAAAACGAACGCTTCCAGCAGGAAAGAAGACACCGGGACCGGGTGCCTGGAAGAGTTTGATTTGGTTTGTTCGGCAAGATAAATTAGGCCTATATAAAATTAGATTTTTCCTATATATGTGTGTAAACAAAGCTTGGAATAATGTGGCGGTATTTCGCATAAAATTCCCCAAAAAGATATAGTACTGCAAACCAATATCTTTGATTTCAGTTAGCTAGTCCTGTAGGCCTAGCTCCAAAACCTTTGTTTTTACCTTACTTTTTTCCTTTCAAAACATTCACATGAACCATGAAGCCAAAGAGTATGCAGCATGTGTGTTTTTTGTGCGAAAGATGCTATTAGCACGGTGTCATTAAAATGTTATTCGCACGGTAAGACAGTCGTTGGTCAGTCATGAGCTAGGCTTATTCGCACGGTAGCGTGCGAACAGTCTTTTCGTTTTTTGTGTCAGTAGGAAATATTTCCGTAGGACCGAATCCTGATTTTGAAAGAGAGCCACCACTCCAACGCGTGAACTCTTCGTCATTTAACAAGTACTGTGCTAGGCCCAAAGACCTAAACAATAAACATTCAATATTGTCTCGTGCCTTATTTGCCCTTTATTTTATACAATGATAGGGATAATATATGTGCAATATTTTCCTGTTGTTGTAGTTTAGTTGTTTGTTAGGTTTATTTGTTAAATTATTGTTTTTTTTTACAAGGATGCACCATCAATACTACGTTTGCTGCTGATTCAAATTTTCCAATAAATTGATTTATTGCTTGATTGATTGATTAATTAATTGATTGATTGATTGAGCCGACATAAGTCCTATTATCAAACTCAATTTATTTATATACAGTAGTGGCAATCTAAAACATAAGCTTAATTTAGTATATGGAATACGCACTATAGCATTTCTATATGCACTAGATTTTGGCATTGCGGATGCCCAAAAAGTTTCTGAGATGGCGGGATGACATGATCACAAAATGACAGATGGACAAGAAGCAGAAAACAGAAAACAATGAATCTTTGGAGGAGGTAATTTAAACAGAATCAGGTAGGTTCGTAGGCAGGATTTTCGACGTGCGTTTTGTGACCTTAGGCTTGAGTGCCTGGGCCCGGGGAGAAGCCCCCGAAAGCTCCCCCTACAATTAACCATTTTGAAGGCCTTAATGGATTTCTGAATCCATAATTTGTTAATTTTGATTCATTTGGCAAGGTGTAAAATATCCATAATGGATATCAATCTGCAATCACTGTCTGATAATTTCCAACAAAGTTCGTACCACAGTTAGGCCTATTAAAAAACGGTTAGAAGATCTGGAAAATTATAAAGTTTGGTGGAAAGCTCCGACACTAGCATTTTGAGGGCCTTTCAAACTCATAATTCGTAAATATTCTATTTAAATTTTTAATTAAATTGGATTTTTTTAGGAACCAGAAGATGTAAAGTTTTGTCTCTAAATTTACACATATGGATGTGTAGGCCTAACAGATAACATTCTAGATCAATCTGTAATCATCGGTTTTTTCATACCACAGTTATTAAAAATCAACGGTTAGAAAAAGCAAATATAAAATGCAATGCATATCGGATTTTGCGGTAATTAGGAACGATTTTGTGAAATTTTAATTTTTTCTCATTAATGACGTTCTGGGAGTAAAATCTCAATTGAAATTAATATAAAGCAATACAAAGACCTTTAAACTGTCTTGGCCTGTCATGCATGTGACCTAATATATTATTACAGAATTTGAGGCCTACTTTGTCGAATCAATAGTTTGGTATTGTAATTGATTCAAATCTTTAAAAAAAAACCAACTTGTTACTTAAGCAATTAAAAATTAAGAAATTGTATTACTTAAATTAAATGCAAGGAAGTAGGCATGCCCGAGGATATAACCAGCCTAAAACAAAGATAATAAATAGCAGAAGAAGATAGAGCAGCTTCCCAAAATAGTGGAACATCCGGTCGAAATGCATTGTGGATACACGGAGAAAAATGTTACTGCATCCGCGCGGCGGCGCTATATAGTAATAATAAAGGCGCAGCTCTGGCTCGTTTGTTTCCTGTAGTTTCTCCACTTAGTGAAATGTTCAAATTTTACTGCAACCGCTTGAGGGCGAATGTTCCATCGATTTTAATGTAAACAAGGTCTCGGATCGTAATCTTGAAAGCTTCGATGAGGGCAGTATAATAGAAGCAGTGGAGTATATTGGCCCTAACGGCCGCCCATACAAAAGCATCTATTACTGTAATCAATGAGCAAAAAAGATCAATCAATCAGCACTGTATTCCTAGAATTCTTCATCGGAGCTAAAAAACATGGATTAAAAAGACAGACGAAACAGTAAACAATTACCAAAGGAGAGTACTCTATTGATTGTCGAAGGCACCGTAGGCGTTTCATATAAACATGGCTCCGTACATTGACGCGGTTGTTGTTGCCTTCCTAGTTTTCATGTTACTCTTGTTTCAGATATGTATACCATTCTTTGTCAAAAAGGTAAGTTAAAATGAGAACTGGTGAATCAAATATACACATTTTTTTATTTTTATTTACGGGTTATTGTATTACAATTAACACCCAATAAACAATAGGTTAGGTATCGTAATTTCTAGGCTCTCATTCATACCATTCAACCATAAAGATTACCACGGCTCAGGACTGGTGTCGCCATGCCATCCGGGCAAAACAAAGACTAAGTAGCAGGCCTAGGACTATAGGCTACTTCAAGCGTCAGTGTTGTTGCTATGTCTTGTCCGGGGCCAGACTGTTTTTTTACATATGCCTTGTTATGTGTAGTATTACCTTTTGAATTCATCCATGTGTCGTTTTCTTCTGTTTTGGGATCGTTTTATCTAGACTAGGCTACAGTACCTTAAGCTAGGCCTGGCCCTAGGCCTACCTTGATAACGAGACTTATGAAGCCGAAGCGTGTGTGCAGCCTATCCTCCTTCAGTTCGTTCCTATGGGGAGAAATTTAGCGGGTGATGACGCCAGTGCATTTCCAAACGGGATTTAAATTTGTTTAACGTGTCTTCCTCAATCACATGGCTTGGTAGATTATTGCAAATGTTGCACAGAGCATTAGTAAAACCATTTCTTTTTTTGAATGAGGTATTATAATTTTTAGTTTATGGCCTCTAGTTTTGGTCTAGTCGTTTTTGATTTTGCATTATTTTGTGATCGCCTTCCAATCCTACCATTATTAGTATCAGGTCTGCTAGTAAATCGTTTATTTTTATTTATTTATTTTTTTTTTCAAAAATGAAGTGCTTGTTTTATTTATAGTAATAAATCACATAATATAAATAAACACTTGCCTATGTTTTTATAATGACTAGGATTACTTAATTTAACTAGAATAAAACAAAAGTGACTTCAAATAGAGAAAGTGAGGCCATATTTACTCAACGTTTGACGTTATTAAGTCATCATTAGGGATATTTCTGATAATGACTTAAATAAAGTCGAAACATTGATTTAAATATGGCCTCATTTTCTCTGTTTGGAGTCACTTTTGTTTTATTCTTATAATAATAGTAATTTATTCGAACGTACAATTTTACATCAGTTGAAGGACAGTGCATTCAAAAACAACAAATTCAGATAGACTTAGCAAAACAAGAAAGTAATTTGTAAAAAAAATGAGATAAAATCAGAATTAATCAGAAACAAAATTCTGAGTGAAGCACTGAGTAAATCAACAAACCAAAGGACAAAGAAATTTGAACATAGTGAACCCTTTTGGTTAAGAACTAAAATATAAAAAAAATCAAATATACCACATTTCTAATGCATTCTTAGGCCTATTGTCTTGGGGGAAGAGCTCTTTTTTTACAAATTAAATTGTTATTTGTCTGTGACTAATTTAGAAGGCAAACATTGTAAATATTCCAATATTTTATTCTTGAGATTTTGAAGATTGCATTCCGAGTCAGCAGTAAAGAGTTGGATCTACAAACCAGTCTTTTGGATCTTCAGTCAGAAAAAGATCAAGTTGATGTGAAAGAGGAGTTTGCAAAATATGCCAAAATTGAACGTAAAATAAACAAAGTTGTCACAGAACTCAAAGAAGCAAGTAAGTCTAAATTGTACAATGATTTAATAATTAAAAGTTAATAAGATAACAAAAATAATAATAAATACTGTTAGCTAATTTCAATTTCAGAAATATTTCAGAAAATAGAACAGTGCTTGAATATAAGAACAAATGATTTTATGATTGTATCAAGTTTCTCTTCAAGGTTCTTTGTTCAGTTGTATGAAAAAGTGTCTGATAGGACTCTTGAGCCATAAACAATGTGTTTTTATCTTTACAGGAAATGCTCGGCGGTTTGATATTTTCAAAGTGAGTTGGATCTTAAATTTGGCTGGTAAATTTTTATGTGTAAGTGTACATTTTACATACATTCTAGAGTGCAGGATAGCTCAGTAAGCTAACTTGTGGTAGGCACTGTGTATTGGCTGGGCCATGGAGATCCCTTTCGACCTTTGATCCCTTGTTCAATCCCATCAAGCCATCACACATACACTCTTTGTGTTTCAGCTGGAGGGCTCAAATGCAAAGTCTTTTGGAAGAATCCACCATGGCCAGTGTGCATATTAAGCCACATTCATACAGAGCCATGTTACCGCATTATATGTATTGAATAGGGCAGGGCTAACCCCAGCTGCAATATTGGGGTTACACAGTGTTCCATCTCGGACCTAGTAATATTACCACAATATTCCCATTACGGTGCATTGCGGCATGTGTCTGAAACGAAAACCAGTCACATTCGACTTTTTATACATTGTTTAGTGAACCCTCTGACCACCAATAATGGTGATTTCAAATAAAAAAAATTTTTTTGGTCCAGTTAGCTCACCTGCCGTGCTACCAAAAATGGAAATTTCATTTAAAAAAATCATATTTTTTAAATTTTAATTACGTCCTCCACCTGAAATATCCAAAATAAGATAGACCTATTTTCTTCCTAGTATATAGGCCTATACAAATATATAAATATTGCACATACTAAAGGTAAGAATGTCAAGGAAACTACTATAAAGGCTAGCCTTCAATACCATTATGATATTATTTAGGCCTTATAGCAATTGTTTTAGAAACAATAACAATAAAGGACGCCTTCAGTCTGTGGTGACTAAAAAGATTAACCAATGCCTCTCTTACTGTATGGGTACCATTCATACAGAAAGGCGTATATTACGGCGATACTACTGCAATATTGTTAGTGCCTCTGTCTGAAAACGGCTTTAATGAATGCAGTCCAGGATTGCCTAAAATATATAGATTAACGGTTTTCTTTCTTTATTTTCAGGCTGTGGGATTTGTGATAATGATATGGAGTTATCGAACCTCACCTCTTGTAACCTTGAAAGAAGAATGGCTTTTCCCATTAGCTGGTATTCTCGCCTTCCCAACTGGACAATCTGGCTCCATTGGCATCACATGCTGGGTTCTTATTTGTAAAATAGTTATCGAGAAAAGCAATGTAATGAATAAATTAAAAACAATTTCTGGAAAGAGTAAACAATACTAAAAAAAATTCTTCCAGGTAAACCTCTTTTTTTTTGTACAGTATGTTTAAATTATTTCAGTCTGGGACTCTGGATACTAGACTTTGAGTGAATATACTATGTTTGTACCTATGTTTATAATATCGTTACCAACAGTTATTGGCTGTTTAGCTAATAAGGAACAGCTGGTTTTAAATATAGTCCGTTAAAATGCAGCAAGTTAAAAACTGACTTAGTGTTTGAACTGTGTAATTTATGGCTTGTTAATGAAAAGTAGGATCTAACTGTGCATTATGGTATTTATACACAGTACACATATGTATATATAAGTTAACAATGGATATCTAATTATATAATGTGCTAAAGTGTTCATTTTATGAGAATATTTTTGATACTATAACCTCTGAGACATTTAAAATACTCTGGAATAAACACCTGCGGTAAAGAAATATTATATATTAAGTGTATCTATTTTAGGCTTTTGAAAGAACAGTATGTATTGTATTTTGGCTGCTGTAATTGTGATTGTATTGAGGTCTTCTTGGAAAGCAGTGCTTGCAGTGATTTAGAGTTTATTCTTGTTAAAAATGTCAGTAAATAAATACAATTTTATCAAAATAAAGCCAATCATAGGTTTGGCTATAGTGCTTCAAGTACTTAAAACCGAGTACAGTATACAAAAATAACTGAAACTGACAAAGTTTTGGTTTTAATTTTTTATTGCAATTAAACATTCCATTCCAGCTTCTCATGGTGTAAATGTCATTTTTTTTGTTTTACAATTGTGCAACACAGCAAGTGACACATATCTTTCTAATTTAAGAATAATTAGTGTGTGCTTGGTTATATTATTGCCCTGAGAAGGGAGGTGGTTTAGATGAGGAACTAACAATGCAATATAATACTATATAGGCAGTCATATAAAACACAAAACAGACATAGTGTATTACATTGGGGGCAGCACATCTGTAGATGTTCATATTCTTTTCAATTGGTCTGATAATGTTCTTCCTAAGCACGGTACTGAATTTTCTATTGATCATTACAGAATATTATGTAACATTACTATAGTATATTTTATGAAACAAACTAGTAATTTTTTTTGCAAACCATCAGTCATAGTGTGTTAGAACGACAGGGAACAGGGTGTGAAAGTGTTGGCGTGGGGAGATCTATTTTAGTAATGGTTGTCAAGGCTCTGTTGTATTAGTAAGGGGGGGGGGGTGGCCTTCCTACTAATAATTTGCCCCGAGAGCCCATAGGCATTAATATGCCACTGTGTTGCATCAGGTGGGAATGTAGTAAAAACATTGGCATTCTTTAAATCTAAGAAACCTCAAAAACCCAAATAAAACTTTGAATTACCCATATAAAAAGATGATACAAGCTCTGGCAGAAGCCTTTATGAAGTTGGCCCTCAATCTTGAAAGAAGATTGTACAGCAAGTAGATTTTGATGATTTACAACCTTTAATGCAAAAATCTTTAAAATGAGTTGCCAATTGTAATTGCAGGTGCCCTGTTTTGCCACTAAATTTTAAAATTTCAATGCATGTCAATGTTATGTATTGAAATCAGCGCTACACACTTATCTATTCTGAAAATGTTGTGCCCCCGTTTCAAAAATTCTGGATCCGCCTTGATTGGTGAGCTAGTGACTTAAAACTTCACAGTAATGATTTCAATTCGTATTCCGTGTATTTCACCGGTTAATTGCACCAAGCACTTAGCGGGTTGTCGACCGTTCAAGCAAGTGTTCGCTCATGTTAAATACTGTGTAACGAAACTACTCCGAAAGTAAATTTAAACTTACCCCATGGTCAACCCATTCTTTCTACTGCTGCTATAACCAGCGCACATCGCACAAATACGCACATCGCAGTATACGCAGTAACTTATATCCGTACCTAGGCTGGTTTATTCAACATTATTTCCCCGAATAATGGTAAATTTACAAATCAAACGCATAGCTATGCTACTAGCCACCTTTATGGCACCAATGATGTGATGTTATGCTGATGGATTGACTGGTGAAGAAGAGCTGCAACTAGGCCTGGGCTGTAACCCTACTGAATTTTGCGCTCTAGACTGTAGACAAAACATTTGGAAAACAATTTAAGGCCAACTCAGACAGCGTCGTACGACGCAGCCCGACGCGATTCATCGTCGGGGAGAGTCTTGAGCCGTCGTGAGAAATATTAAACATGTTTAATATTCTACGACGCGACTGCCCCCGACGCAACCATCGCGTCTGCATTTAACTCACACAGACCCGACGCGACAACAAATCGCGTCTAGCTGCGTCGTACGACGCTGTCTGAGTTAGCCTTAAGGTTGATTTGTCGTCGTCTCCGCCTCCATGGTCTTTCCATACACGGTATTCTACCCAGCAATTTGGTGGTCAAATTTGTCACAAATAATCCAGATGGTAAGGTAATTAGGGTATTGTTTGAGTGGTTTTAGAAAGTGTGTACCGGTGGTAAATCGCACAGATGTTACGCTTTAATAACAAGCACTCATGTAGGTGTTTACTTAACACAAAAGATCAGGCTGTCGTCCTGTCATCTGAATACTATAGGGTAATCTCAGACGTCCTTCAATATCCAATCTGGTTATCATAAATAAAGTCATGAAAATAGCCATCATCTTAAAGTACAGATCCCCAATGGAACCCCAAGATTTTATGTTTTTACAATGTCAAAAAATGACATGAATGTTGACATCTAATGTATACTTGTAGTTTTTCACAATTATGTCATGCTGTTAATTTTTACAACGGATCATATGCATTTTATCAGAATTTCTGTACGATTGTATCATTTTTAACCATTTTATTTTTAATATTTAACATTTTGATAACGTTGACTTATGTATGTTTATATATACAATATTATTTAATAAAAACTCTGAAATTGTTCAGTTTCTATACTGTGCATTTAAATGTATCAGGGTTTCATGCATATTAGTAAAAGGTAAATATAAAATAAAATTTAAATATAAAAAAATTATAAATAGCTTGGAACCCTGAGTTAAACAACAAAGAATCACCTACAACTACAATATTGTAGTCTCGGGAATCACTCTAAACATAATCATTCATTTAATATTGCACATGTAACAGCAATTAACCAAGTAGAGAAATTGCCAGGGATACTAACAGCATACCACTAACTTAGAACAGCAGACTTGCATTTAAGAACTCTTTGAAACATAAATAGTCTTCAATTTGATTGCTAAAGAATTCTGTTTTGTGAAACCATGTATTTCTATATGAAATTATAAAATATCAGAATTTATATCGTTACATTGATTTTCTGTTTTATGAAGATAATGCAATTCAACTACCGATAGGAGTGCCTAACTGAGCATGTGTAGTGATACGGTTCAGTCAGGTGTCCGCATCACGAGTCATCATCACTACTGGAAGATTCTGTGGCTCGTTGGTTTCGACCTAAGAAAACACATTGGCATGTTTAAGAAATGACAACCTTTTGTTTTCATGAAAAATTAATAATTTGGAAACTGTATTTTTTCGCAGCCGTTAAATGTTTCAACTTTTTTCTTTACATAATTGAGGGATTCTAAATTCATTTACACTTTCAAGGCTTTATTATAATTAAAAACATTGGGAGATATTAATTAATAGGCTATAAAGATGAAATTGGCTGAAGACATTATTTACACCAGCACAAGAACAAACGAACATTGATTCAAATACTATTGATGTACAAGTGTTACACATGAATTTGATATGGAAAAGAATGATTAATTAATCCACCAAGCTGGGGTCCTGACAAATTTTGGCGAACTTGAAAACTTACTTAAGTTGAAGTTGTGAACTTACTTGATCTAAGATTGCGTAATGTTGACATCATACGCAGAATAAATGAAGGTGGGACTGTAATGGTATCCCTTGTTTCTTCCAACATCAACTCGTTCACACGCATAACCTGCAAATAATAACAGAAGACTGTCCTTACACTGTAACTGAAGCATTTAGCAACATATTACTAAAAAAATGTTATATAGTAGTTTTATAGTAAGTACTATACTCATGAAGAGATTTAAAGTTTACACTATCAAATTTTATGTGACAAAAAAATGTGTTGTGCCCATATATGGGTACGATGACATCTTATCACATATCAAATTGTATCAAAAAAAGTTGAACGTGTTCAACTCTTATGCTCCATCACATTTTATGTGATGCTTTTTTGATGAAATTTGATAGTGTAGACAAAGCTTAATAAATCACAAGGGGTTTAAATAAAAGCACCATCTTTTTAAAGACATTTAAGTTAATTTAATCATCCAGAACAGAAATGCAGACTTTTTTCCCCAGGATATTTCAACCCTGGATCCCAACTGGGGGCTTTTGGTTGGCTCCCGTACGAACAGGCATGTGCTCATCCTACGTTACCACTTATAAGTAGAATTGTCTTCTGGTCTACAGATCAATTCAACATCAACCTCGTAGAGAGGATTTATATGTCATGCAAATTCGAAAGAATGAATGATTCATGTGATACCTCTTCGGCATTTGTTGGCCGACATGGTTCGTCTGCTAATGGTGCCCAGAGTTTGATGTCGTAATCAATGCCACTTGTAGCGAGAACTGAAACAAATGTTTTAGAGGCATTAAAATCACGTAACAAGCTATCTTACATGCTTGTGTTATAAATGTATTATACACTAAATTGAATAGATTAGAAGGCTAGATGTTTTTATTTTTCATTTATTTCAACTTTATTTGGTGAGGATAATCCTTCAATCTGGACCAAGAAAGCCAGCTGATTTGCAAGGGGCCCTCTATAAAAACAATTACAAACAACAATTACAATCATACTAAATTACATCATATTAAAATTACATTAAACAATAACAATAATATAAATATTTAACAATAAATTTAAATGTATCTAATTAAGTCTATGACTAAACAAATTATTAGAATACTGTTCTTTTAATATACAGAGTATTATTAGAATTATATTAGTATGTGCCAAAACCTATAAAAGGATAAACCTCAGTGTGAACACAGACTATTGCTTGCTGGTATGCCATGTAAACCCTGTTACAATCACTACATGGTCACTACAGTGTTTTCACTGCCATTGTTCATAGCTGTCCCTGATGCAATCGAAAAGGTTCCCTGATTTGATGAAAAGCAGTCTGCTGTAGTGTCTAGTGATTTTATGTAAACCATGCCTCAAGGCCAAATATTAAGTAATGGCATATAAACAGTCCACTTACTGGGTTCATAAGGATGAGGCTGAACGCAATTCACAACATGTCTATCGCCCTCTAGGAGCATGAGAAGCTCTGTTGTGTGACGATCCCAGATGAACACATGTCCACAATCAGAACCACTAAGTACAAGGTTGTCCCCCCAAAATCCGGCTTCCTTAATCTGTATTAATTTTAAAAACAAAAAACACAATTTTGTTATACATTATGGCAAGTTGAACGGTCGCGGATGAAGCAAGAGCACCACAATCTACAGGGGGGGGGGGAGAAGAATATTTTCCTATACCTTTGGATATATCATACCATGGTTCTATACATGGTTAACTTTGTGCTAATGCTATTAATTACTGTGTTGTTTTCCTGTTGGCGATATTATACTGTTGGCAGGTTTGTACAAACTGATATTAAATCAAAAATTCTCACCATTGTTCTTGAATTTCTATGACCTCGGTATACATTTTTGACCTTTAGACTGGTTATACTCCTAATTTGCTCCTTTTCTTTTTCTCTTTCTTCCCTCGCTTTCCCAAGTAATGCTTGTCTAACTCGTTCTCCTCTGCTTTTCATTCTGAAAGAAATATCACAGCAATAAAAATTATTTAAATGTATAATTGAATCAATTTAGTGCTGTAGTGTGACATTAAAACTTGTATGTTACATAGAACTTTTATTAAGAAAATTCAGATCATTACAAAAAAAAATTTATGCAAATTGACATATTTATTATTATAAACTTGGCATAGATGACTGGTTCAGATAGGAAATGCAATGACAATTTAGTAATTTAGTATTTATTTTCGTTTCATTTCTTTAGGCACCAGGACCAAGGATATGCCAATCAGGAAACTTAATCACTGTCCTAATTGGCATATCCATTAACGACAGGAGACTGAATGGACCAATACACTGGGGTAGCCCCCTGCTCTTCTCGATGGATGTACTAGGTTCTTTAAAGTGCACACAAGCCAAATGTGTACACTCGGCCAACAGTTTAAAAATCCTTATCCATGAAGACTTGTTCCACCACCGGAGTCATTGGCGAGTGAGCCATTTGAGCCAGCAGTGATATTACAGCTGCAGGTTACGGTGCCCCTGACTTATGGCAAGTCAAAAGGCCATAATATCAGTGCTGGTTCGAACGGCATACTGGCCTATGGTTCTGGTGTTAAAACAAGTTTTCTTGGACAAGGACTACAAACTATAGGCCCAGTATATACAATGGCTTGTGTGCACTGTAAAGAATCCAGTACATCCTTCGAGACGAGTAGGGGGAAACCCTGGTGTACTGGAACAGACAGCCCCTGTGGTGGACGATGAGAGTTGCTGGTACCAGGTTTCTGGGTAGCACAGACACAAAGTGACCCTTAGGGGCAAAGAAAGTCATTGATCGAGTTCCTAGTCCACATATCAAGCGCCCTGAGCATTTTATATTAGATGAATATGGCGCTATATAAAACTACACTATTATTATTATTATTAACTGCACGGCCAATCAACTCGCCAATTATAAACAAAAAAAAAGGTCATAAACAAAGGCAACCCTACATCCAAAGTTTTTACATTTTCAGTCAACCACAAGGAGGTTATATTTTCATTTGAGATAATGAAGCATCACTAATAATCCTATTTGAATTTCAAAGAACTGTCTTGTATACACATAATTTATATCAATATCTATATTATCTCTGATAATTTTCATATAATATTGCAGTCAACTGCACTGGAAATAAAGTTAAATTAAAATTTAAAAAATCCCAAAGTATATCCCTTAGGTATACTATATAATTATTTTTGAACTAAGCATTTGAGGCACGATAATTTAACAACCAGTAGACTGGATTATTATGTTGTAAGTTTATTCTAATACATTTTATTTGTAGATTATAGTTAAATAATATCTTAATGAGAGGACTTGATCCTGAGGGATCCAGGTCGTAGGTCGTAACTGATCTTACCAAGGAAGGAACATCTATTATTACTCAGTTTTACTGTAAGTGCCTGAGAGGAATTCCCCCCCCCCCCCTAAGTAAAAGATACATATTTAATCAAAATAGCCACTCTCAGTGCACTGGAAATAAGTCTAACAACACCTTGATGGAGCAAAAATGGAAACTCATGCAAGGCACGAGAATATTCATATACCGTGCAACTAAGGCTTGGAACAAACTTCTAAACCAAATTAACATAGAATTAAATGACCTCAAACTTAAACATTTTAAAACTTTGTTCAAAACCAAAAATTAATTAGGTCTCTCCAACCACCCTCTCTTCTCTTGGCTTCTTTTAATTTAAATTATTAATTCATTTAACTTGGTTCTTTTGTATTTTATCTAAATTTCTGTATTATTATTATTATTATTAATATTATGTTTTATTATTATTATGTTTTATTTTGTTCTACTTTGGCATTTTTTCTTTTCATTTCTTTTGTTGTTCATGTGATCCACTAGTGAGATCAGTGCTGCATCACTGAAAGTGTTATCATGTTAAAGGCAGAATAAATAAATAATAAGTGTGTAAGCCTTATCCAACAATTCAGGATGAATACTGTACTTTTTGGAGATTTGTCTCTTTAACAAGTAAGTAATAATAAGTGTGTAAGCCTTATCCAACAATTCAGGACGAATACTGTACTTTTTGGAGATTTGTCTCTTTAACAAGTAACTCATGCATATGATGTAAACAACTTGAACATTGTTATCTCCCAAAAGAACTGATTTCTCACCTCTTGGTTGATTTGTCTTCTCTAGAGCTTCCTACATCGTCGCCTTCATTGTCCATCACCTTACACATTAAAAAAAAAAACCAGACTAATCAATAGTCTCCAGATCCTAAACTTATAGTGAACAGACCAAAAAAGACTCTGAGTGTCTCAGTAGGCTAACACGGTCAGCAAGTAAAATAATAGGTACGGAGGTCAATGACTTAAGTTGTTTATGTGAAGGTGCCTTACTTAGTAAAATTAAGGACATAGCGAATGACCAAACTCACCCACTTAATAAGTTTATAACAATTAGTAAATCTGGCAGAATAATTCCAACTTTAAAACGTACCAACCGTCATAAATACTCATTTTTACCATGTGCAATAAGAGTCTTTAACGAACACTTTAGTAGATAATCTCATCATCAAGCCTATCTACTGTATTACATTCCATGCCATATTCCTCTCCTGACCTCACAATATAGTTCAACCTTGTTAATTCCATGTGTAATATATTTTTATATTTTTATATTCATATTTAATAATATATCTGTTATTGTTGTCTTGTATTTTATAGTGTTATAGTATTCGATTTCCACTGTTTGTTATCAACTCAAAGAAACAAATCTCGTATATATGTACCATGTATGACAAAAATAAATCTTGAATCTTGAACATATTGAGTTATATTTAAACTATGTTGGTTATCAGTGTCTAAGATAAGATATACAGATAGTATAATACTCACTCCAAGTATCGAAATGCATGCCATCGTGACGGGATTTGCTAATAGCATCATCTTAACAAATAATTTATGTAATACAAATAGGGTTTGCAAAAGAGTATTGTCCCTTACCCATCTTCTGCTTGTTCCAGGTTCTTGACTGCGATCAGAACTGTTTTCATCTGCACTTTGATCCTTTAATCCTTTCTTTGCACTGTCTTTCATTTTTGAAACATGTTTTTCAGATTCATTACTCCATCCTTTCTTTCCATTACTTTCATTCATTTTTCCTTTGAAATCATCCGAGCTAGAATCATCTGATTCGCCATCATCGCCTCCATCATCATCAATTTTTAAAACTTTCTTACTCCGTCTGGAACGACGAGACGATTCTGGTTCCTCAGCTGTACCATCCGATGTGGAACTGTGCTGGCTACACCTTCTCTTCTTATCTTCAAAGCCACTAAGGTCTGTTTTTGTCATGCAAGATTCACCTGCAGACTTTACTGTTGACAATGATGTTAAAGATGACGTGTCAGCATCCTCTGACATCATTTCCTGCCACTCACAATGATCTTCAGAGGAAGATCTTGCACTTAAATGAATCTCAGACTCCATTTGACCTCCTGAAGCAGATAATTCTGGACACATTGCCTGGTTCATTTTTGAATGTTCAGCACTTGCTTCTGGTTGGCTTGATGTGTCTGAGGCACTATCTGTCATTAAGGTTGCCTCCGCTCCTAATGAGCACGACCCCATCCTTAAGGATGTGGACTGTTGACTATCGGTAGAATGTCTGGATTCCCGCTGAGTGGATCGCACCCGCTCAGTCCTTGATTGTCTACTGGGTTCTTCTGTTCTGAAGGATGTATCTAACGATGTCCTCGGGAGATCAAGCAACACAGATGGCTGGCTACCTGCAGCATCTTCAAGCCAACGTGTAAAGAGCTCTGACATCCGTTGCATCACTGTCTGTGGAGACTGTGATTCTATCATAGAAAAGAATATATTGTATTTTATGGCTATTTTATCACATATAATATTAAAACATTCAATTTTTTTGTATTCCATAAATTAAAAAAAGATTTTAGAACAAACTTATTTTATACATCAACACTAACCTCCTGATTCTGCACGAGGGCGTGCTGTAGGACCTGTATCTGACCAGTCACCTCTGACACGCAGTCGTTTTACAGGATTAACTGGAGGCATCTGCAGTAGGAAAGAGTCATAAAGAAAAATTGCTATTATTTTCATTATAGTAGTTTTAAGGGATGTAAAACCATACAGTAGTTCAGTCCACCTTCTCTGTCCACCAAATTCTGTACCTACTTCATTTATGTTCTTAATCAGTTTTCCTTTGTATTATTTCAAATTAAACCATCTTCATTAGATTAACATCTTGCCACAATGAAGATCAACAGGACCTCCTGAGTTTTAAGTATCTAAACTAAGCACTGGTCTCAGCAATTTGTACTGATAGCATCTTAAACTAATATAGTATCAAGAATACTTTACTTCATCTTTATCTAGTAAAGGATTTCCTTTCCTCTCATCTTCTCCATCAAGCAACATGTCTTTAGTGTCGGTACCAAACAAGTAGATGTACTCAGAGGAGTAGCTAACTAGCATCTCCCGTCCGTCATGGCTGTAGCTGAGAGAAGTGGGTCTGCAGTATTTGGTCTGCAAGTGTGGTGGACTGAATCTACTGAACATTCCATGGATGCCACGCCCAGTAAAGTTACCTACGCAAACAATATTCAAAACCTCAAGTAATAACAGATATTAGAGATTTTATTTTCACCAGAGGAAACCATGTTGCCATCAATAACAAGACTACAGGGGGCCATAATTATTATATAATACTATTCAAAAACTGAAATGACTCAATTCTGTATCATAATAAAATAAAATTAAAAATTTGCTTCTTATAATAATTAACATAACATAATAATAATGTGCTAATTCTACTAAGAACTTATGGCTTAAAAATAAGCCTTGCCTGTGTCAGTTATGACTCATCAGGGTTTCTTATTGACACATTATCATGTTTTTATGTCTTTATTATAAAAAATAGGTATATTACATTCATTACTAATATCAAGTGTATTGATTGGATAATAAATAATACTGCATCAAACACATTTTATGTGTGGCCAAATAAAATACATAGTGCTTCATGAAAAAAGGCATCACAAACCTGAGCCTTTGGTCCCAAGCATTCTTCTGTCAAAGATACAGATTGAGCTGTCCGAACATCCAACTGCAAGATGATATGGGGTCACAGGGTTGACTGATAATGAGGTCACTGCACAGCGACAATTAATGAGCACATCCTAAAGAAGGGAACAATGATTCTCTAAATGTAATTCACTGGAATTCAAGACAGAGCAATAATTAAAAACCTGCAATCAATCTTGCTATAAACAATGCAACACTACATGACAAACAGAACAGTAAAAAAGTAAAATTATTATTATTATTATTATTATTATTATTATTATTATTAATATTATTATTAATATTATTATTATTATTATTATTATTATTATTATTATTATTATTATTATTATTATTATTTTTATAAATATAAATCAGTAAAACAGTGTTTTTTTAGTTTTTCAAATCTGGACCACCAATTATTTTTTCAATTTGGAATTAACTTTGGATTTTATTGTACACCCTATTGGAAAAGGTGGTTGTAGAGGGCATTAACAATAGGGCTGTAGCATTAAGTACATAAAACCTCGAAATGCACAGTACCTCTCTACACTCATCTTTAAGGCACTTGGTTTTCATGCGCAGGTCAAAGAACCTCACAGTGCCATCTTCACCACTGGAGATGAAGGAGTGCGGATCTTGTGGAATGGTGGCTAGCTGAAAAGTGACAGAAAATTAAACAAAAATGCCTGTAAAAATTGTAAAAAAAAATAATCAGGCAATCGTGTGAAATCATTGACACATCCCTAGACCATCCATGACTCGGTAATAAATAATGCTACATAAAAGCAAGATATTTTACTGTGATGTATTATCATGGTAATGTTCTTAATAATATTTATAATTAATAAGCAAAGGGCTTAAGTTCAGAGCTTAGGAGATTATTTTTTTATCATTTTTTTTCTATTTGTTGAAAAGGAGAAGTGTCAAAAATTATTTTAACCTGCCCTACAGAAATTATCTTATAAGTAAAATGAAGAACTGTACCTCATACACAGTGCCATAGTGACAATTAAACATGTTCATGCCGTGTGTATCCTCTCTTTCCAGCTCATTGAATGCTAGCATGCCATCCCCAGAACAAGACACCACCTACAGATATTTCAATTATTTCATTCATTATTTAATATTAATTCATTATCATATTTAATAATAATAATAATAATAATAATTTGCAATTTGTATAGCGCCTCCCAGCAGTTAACTATTTTTTTTTTTTTTCAGGGAACAACAGAGAACATGAGAAGAAGTCTCAGTGGTAATATCATCTACAATAATGTGAATTTCATCAATTCAGTGTCAGCAAGCTGATCTTTGTAAAGTCAGGCTCAGCAGATTGACCATATTTATCAAAAATTCAGGCCTACCCTATCAACCTGCTCTCTGCCACAAGCAACAATCATACCAGATTGTTTTCACTGCTTGCCAATAATTATAATTAAAAATATATTTTGGCCTATTAATGCACTTCCAAAGCCATAGAATCTAATAAGCTCACAATCAAAATAAGAATATAAAGCATTTCATAAATCGCAAATACTAAAACTGTTTACATTGCAACATTACTTTTTTTACAGCAATGAAATAGTATTTTGGGCCTCTCTATTACATTTCATCCCACACACTTTCAAGGGGTGGATTTAGGGATCCCCCACACTCCCATTGGAAAGTGTTAAAAAACAGAAAAAAAAAAGATAGAAAAAGAAATTATTGATCGTTAAAGATGTCTCAGAGGTTATTTCAGGGCGTAGAGAAAACAAAAAACCACCCCCTCCCCCCCATAGGACATCTCTGGATCTGCACCTGCTTGCATTTTTTTATCGCCAAAAAAATATATGTTTTTGTCAAAATTATTTTGCTATTTTTTTAACCTATCATCCTCTATTGATCTTTTAAGTATTAAAGTTTGCTCAAGGTATGTAACAGATCTCACCTGAAGTAGAGCATTACTTGAATGAACAGGCAAGGGATATATATTTCATCAGATATATCTGTAACAAGCATACACTATCAAATACCTAATCAAACATTGCCTTCTTTGTTGAGTTTGACAGACATACATGTGATAGCATATGCCCTGCTTCAGATTTCTTAACACATGTCACTATTTATATCTGTTAAATAGCTCTAGAATGCCATCGGATATAACTTTTCTTTAAAATAATAAACCTAGTGTTTCTAATTGTGACTTAAGTTTCTTTAGTTCTATTTCTGTTAGTTACTATCATCTTCATAATCATCTCCAAGGCTGCTGCGCACCACCATTCTAGTATTACAGGTTTGTGTGTAATTGATTTGTCTTACCAGTTTATCTCTGGACACAGGAATGTACTTAGCACAGAATATGTTGGCTTTGTGTCCGGATGTGATTGATGCCATTTTCGCTCTGGTGTGACCGTTAGTGACCACCAAGTTCTTGTCATCTGAGCCGGAGAGTATGGTTTCGCCATTATCGCTCCAACATATACTGTTGACCTGTTTTAAAATGTAACAAAAAAGTATTAGGACAATTAAAGTCAACTATGTTATGAATGTCAGCTGGAAGCAGGATGGCACAAGCTTGGTCCCCACCTTTCCATTACACAGTCCTGTGTTCAAGTCATGTAAAGGATTTATTCTCCCAATTTGAGCTTCAAAAATGACATTTAGAACACAATGCTTTATAGTACCAGATGATGAATTAAATTAAAGGTATAAATTATTTTTAAATTATTTTTCTTTTATAAATAGTTTGGGTGAACAACACAAACATATCAATACAAAATTATATAAGTACTGTATATGAAAACAAAAATAATACAATAATAGCATCTGCCACAGCCCAGGAAAGACAGTAACCACCAAGTGCTTTTTCGATTGAAGGCCAACTTGTACCCATGCCAATTTGTACCCACTTTATGTACAATCACTGACAGCTTAACAAATTATATTAAAGTAAAATAGTTTTATATTTTGAGCACTTTCAGTGTTCGATTGTTCATGATAATACTAGCATAAGTATTCAAGACCAGCGCTTAGTGAAAAAAAAAATCATTTTTGGTGCGGCGCTTATTCAAGTATTTACGGTACTGGCATAAGTAAAGAGTTATAATAAAAGAACCACTGAGTAATCTTGAAAGCCTGCCACTCACTGCATCGTAGGACGGTCATGCAACGAATCGAACACCGCTCCCTGAGAGCGAGAAGATGCGACACCGCCTGCTGACTGTCAGTGCCAGTCTGGCCGGATCGTCATTAAAAAAACGATCCTTGCGCACATGTTGTGGTGTTGCGTTCTCCATAGAATCACGTCAGCCGACAACCGTTAACCGGCAGCGAGTGCTTGGCTTTTCATGCATGAAATTAAACAATTATTTGCAACACCTAAATAATCTGACTTTATTGATAAATGTGGAAGCAGTGGCGCAATGAGAGCAGTTTGGCTTCCCAACCTTGAGGTCAGGGTTTCAATCCTTCGCTGTGCAATAAACGAACATCATTCCATGATTATGTATTATTATTTTTTGAAGCCATTAAACTCCAATTAAAAGTGGCAATACCTCAAGTTGTGCACACTTAGCTGTTTCTATATTGACAAATTTACCAGTAAAAATTTTTAAATTGTGAGAACACTGTGAGCCCTTAGGGCTTGGCAAGGATTCACTTTATCAATATAAATAGAAAATGGTACATACACAACCAGAGTGAACTGCAAGCTTGGTGTCAAGTTTCAATCGCTGCACAAAGTTAGCATCACCTGTCAAAGAAATATTCAAACTTAATATTCCCGAAAGTATCGATATAAACGTCCATACTCTGCAGTTTACAGACTTGAAACCAGATAAATTTTTTTGTAACACTTCTTCAGTGCAACATCATTCTATGTAAATGTTGCTCAGTAAATCCAGCACCATTACACTATGTTGTGCACAGTTTAGGCTGTTTGCTCATTTTTGAGCCACAGATGTTGTTTCAAACTGTGCGTACAGTTTGAAAACTGTGTAAAGGTTCTTTCAATAAAATGGAACATTTAAATTACACAAATCTTTCGTGATGTTGGTAGTCTATGAGTGAGATACTTACCTGGATAACCGACTAATTGCCATTGTTCCCAAAACGGAACACCCCTTCGAAAAAAAATGGAACAGTCCGACCCAAGGCGCCACGTGCGAACCGTCTCCCTAACAAACGTCCTCATTCCCTAAAGATCGACACGATCACGGCGAGGGTAGGAAGGGAGGGAAGGTTATCCAGGTAAGTATCTCACTCATAGACTACCAACATCACGAATGATTTGTGTAGTCTATTTCGTGAATACTTACCTGGATAACCGACTAATTGCCAGATTAGCAGCGTAAAGAGGAGGCGGGCGTGATCAGAAACCAGAAGACTTACCTACAGAGACGGCTTCAACGCAGCAGCCGCTACCGACGCCTGGGTCGACAAAACATCCTGCAAGTAGCAAGATGAAAAAGTAGTCTCCGATCTCCACCATGCCGCCGCCAGAATGTCGGCGAGGGGGACCCCGTGAAAGAGGGCCCAAAAAGCCACCGTGCCGCGAACCTCGTGCATGTGGGCAGGCGGAGGCTTGCGAGCCGACGCATAAGCGGCTTGGATGGCCGAAACCACCCAGCGAGCAATGGTATCAACAGAAGCAGGCCCATGGGGCCGATGTGTATAAGAGACAG